TTGGTTGGCCACTTGTATTATTCATTATATATAAATCATTAATACAACTCCTTCTTGGTCTTGGTCTCGGATGATGAATACCTGACGCAATACAAGGAGTCACTCTCAAGAAGCTGCTACGTTGAAAGTCGCCCTGTTAGACTGTTGTTCACCCTGTGTTGGCAGAGGTGCTGTGTTGTGTTGGCAGAGGTGCTGTGTTGTGTTGGCAGAGGTGCTGTGTTGTGTTGTGTTGGCAGAGGTGCTGTGTTGTGTTGGCAGAGGTGCTGTGTTGTGTTAGCTGTTGTGTTGGCAGGTGCTGTGTTGTGGGTGCTGGTGTTGCAGAGGCTGTTGCAGGTGTTGTGTTGTGTTGTGTTGGCAGAGGTGCTGTGTTGTGTTGGCAGAGGTGCTGTGTTGTGTTGGCAGAGGTGCTGTGTTGTGTTGGCAGAGGTGCTGTGTTGTGTTGGCAGAGGTGCTGTGTTGTGTTGGCAGAGGTGCTGTGTTGTGTTGGCAGAGGTGCTGTGTTGTGTTGGCAGAGGTGTTGTGCTGTGTTGGCCAAGGTGCTGTGTTGTGTTGCAGAGAGTGTTGTGTTGTGTTGTGTTGCAGAGAGTGCTGTGTTGTGTTGTGCTGGCAGAGGTGCTGTTGTGTTGAGAGGTGCTGTGTTGTGTTGGCAGAGGTGCTGTGTTGTGTTGCAGAGGTGCAGCACAGAGGTGCTGTGTGTTGTGAGGTGTTGTGTTGTGTTGGCAGAGGTGCTGTGTTGTGTTGGCAGAGTGCTGTGTTGCAGAGGTGTTGTGTTGTGTTGCAGAGGTGTTGTGTTGTGTTGGCAGAGGTGCTGTGTTGTGTTGGCAGAGTGCTGTGTTGTGTTGACAGAGGTATTGTGTTGTGTTGGCAGAGGTGCTGTGTTGTGTTGTGTTGGCAGAGTTGCTGTGCTGTTATATGTGCTGTACTTTATATCATTACATATCGTTAGGCTCCATTTCTCTACTTGAGGCAGCCGCTCCTCCTCTGCCGTGAACTGCTGGTAAACAACTGTATTGATCATGAAAAGTTGTTCGATTGTGGTTAACTTATCGCAGTGTACTTGCACCAATCAGGAGACAGATTGTTACCTGGGACGGACGATAGCCAATCCAGTCACTGTTGCCGTGAAATTACCCAAAATTCCTTGTCCCACCATGGACGATATATACCGAGTGATGTACAGGAAGTATGCAGTCTACATCGGAGCTCTGAGGTGGGAACTCGCCTTCGGAGCTCTGAAGGAGGGCCGACTAACGTTGGCCCCTCCAGGCTCATTGTGAGATTTGAGCCAGCATTGCTGGCAAGCCGAGTTTGACGATGACCCAATCGGGTCGTCGTCATGACTCAAGCTGAGTAAAGAGTCAGCTTGGCTGACAACAGACAGACATTCGGGTCGGGCTAGTGGTGACTTCCCAGCCCGAATGGTGTGAGAGTAAGAAGACCTGAGGAAAGAAGACCTGAGGAAAAAGACATCAGCTCCGGGCGAAGTGGAGAGTAATCTTCAAACAAGAAGAAGGAAGCATATGACCAGTTTTTCTCTGTGATCCACTCAGGAATATTGTCCTCTGAGTCTACCGTAAAGTAAGTCTCATTGTTGTTAGTACTAAGCACTCGAGAAGTGTTACTGGAGGTGAAGTTAGACGTTATGTGATGTTGTCTTCATTTGACCACACCTTTCAATTGGCTTAACTCGACACTCTTACCTCACTACACCTGTTTGTCTTCATTGAGCTACGGGAATAGTCAACGATGCAGAGTATTGTCTTGATCCCTAACCTGTCCGTTCTGGTTTCCCATATATTGTAACCAAGGCTCCTTCCTATCTTGTCTCTGGTCTATCTTATATCGCATCTTAATGAAGTGTCCAGGACCCAACCACACCAGGTCGGCCAGATAGAGGGCCACCATAAGCAGGCCAGCCATAGGACTCGCTTCCTTGTTCCCACACTCACAATTTCAATCTCTTCCAATTTTTACTTCTTTCATTTTCTTTTCTTTCCTTCAGAGATAATCACATTTGTACAAGGTTGATAATAAAGATGAACATTTTATGACTGAAATTAACTCTATATACTGTAAGTACTATAAGTCATTATGGAACGAAAAAAATAAATCACTAAATAGTTTTTCAGTATTTTTCATGTTAAATAATTTACACAAATCATCTTAAAATAGTACAGGGTAATTTCAGTGATCTCAGAAAATGAACAAGTGTTAAATGTGTGGTGCTGATTACTGACTTGTTTATACCAACTTTCCAATTGATTTTCATGTAACTGTTTTCATCTTTTTCCTAGGAAACTTTTTCACACATTATCCTTTTGTTTGTTGTATTAAATGACCTTATTAGGGTGTCTAATCCCAAAGAAAACAGATATTTTGGCTGTCAAATACCGATAAATTTATTAATTAACCATGAAAAAAAGCAATGAATTGTAAAAAATGCAGAATTGACGGAAGTGGCGACACAAATTCCGCCCACTTGCGCGAGCTAGCCAATCTGGCCGACCCGGTATGGTTGGTTGGTTGGTTCCCTAAAGTCTACTCTGGCTCATATTATCGTGAGTACAGTATTCTTTCTGGCGCTAATTACAAATGTCGCTCCTAATACAACGATGTTCATTAATCTTGTACAGTATTTACCTGTCTTGGGAAGCTGACAGGATACTTACTAGGGACACTGACAAGGTACGTATTTACCTACTGGTCAGTGGTCACCCTAGTCCAGGGAAGGAGGCCACTGGCCTGTGTAGGATCCCTCCATTGCTCTTATAGTCTTGTCAAGGGTTATTTTGAAGCCCAATTCTGTTCTTGATTCCACAGCTTGGGCGGTAGACTGTTCCATAGGTCTACCAGCCTCTGTGTGAAGAAGTACTGTATGTCTTTATATTCGTTCTGCTTGAAAACTTGGCCAGCTTGTAACTATTAGTCCTGGCTCTGCTATAAACTTTCGTATGTTCTTTTGGGTGCCTGATGCCTAACACTTGAGTAATGACCTTTAGGATGAAATAATAAACATTTGAGATACGAAGAGAGTCGTCCTCTAGGTGGCTAAATCCAAAGTGGCCGCCCTTGTGCGTGGGAAAACACTAGGGCAGCCATTGCTCTGAGTCTAGAAGGTGTAGAAGAATAAACTCGTTTATCAACTAAAGTTATTTCTGACATATGGCTGAACACCAAAATAATGAAATGATCATAACTTGGGAACTGTAATGGATAAATGACAAGCTTGGTATTAGTTTATATTGGGAGTCTTCCTTACAATCAATGGTCTGATTAAACTACCTTATATAATGAACAAACATTTCAGGGTAAACCCTCTCAGTTAATCTACTGATAATATCTAGCAAGCACTGCACCCGTACATACTATCAGAGGCTTAGCCGCTTACACAAATTTGGCTTCGTTTATGTTTTGTTTAATCTTGTAAGATATACATAAGTTGTCCAAGATAAGGCCACGAGAACATTATTAGATCATCAGTGAAGATTGTAAACCCGAGAGAAATACAGACCGCAAAAATTTACTACTTCAAAGAGTGAAGTGCTTCACCATCTGGAGTACTGTCACCCCGTCTGGTCCCCGAGATATGCTAGGGACTGTCAGTTGGTTGAAAATGTTCAAAGGAGGGCCACCAGACTGGTGCCTGCACTTCGGCACCTCAGCTACCCTGAGAGATTGGAGCGCCTGAACTTGCCGAGCTTATACTACAGACGGGCAAGGGGCGATCTAATTGAGGTGTTTGAGCATCTCAAGGGGCACTACTCAGTCGGGTGTCCTTACTTGGAGCTGGCGGACACTTGCCCCACAAGAGGTCACAGCTCAAAATTGAAGGAAGCCGCAGGTCCAGAAAACTGTGAGGGCAAACTTTTTCGGAGTGAGAGTTGTGAACTCTTGGAACAATCTGCCAGAGAGTGTTGTGACGGCACCGAGTGTGAGCTCTTTCAAGACCAGACTTGACCAACACTGGAGCAGGTTCAGGTACATTCAGGAGCCGGTGCATGCCAAGTACTTGCCAGAGACGTGACCGATCGCCCAAGCGGCTGACGAGTCGATCATTGGTGAAGAGGATAAAGAACAGATATGACAGAGTACTGTATTTGTCGTAAACTGAACAAAGATGTAAAGAGAGCTTCGATAAGATGAGATTTCTTAATTTCACAAAATATTATTTTATAACATGTAGGACCAGGACTGAGAACCGGATATGTTAAAGTTATTGAACGAAGATTAGGTGTATTCAGTGTGGCATTCTATGCGTGTGGTGTATGGCGGCCTCAATAGATTGCACTGTTTTAATACTGTACAGTGATATCTTTATGTTCGTCAGAAACTGAAAGAAAATATAGTATTCCAAGAGCTGATTTAGAAGTATGGCACATCAGGTGGGGTTTAATGAGCAGTTCTGTACCTGGCAGTAAAGTACTTGTGGGTGTATCAAGGCACCGGGGACATGGTATACCGGTTTAGTGATGAGCAGTGGCGAGTGACGTATAGTGTACAATTCCACGTCGTTTCCTTTTATTTTGTAAACAGTATATTGAATGTGAGGGAGGGAGGTGGGTGAGACAGGGAGGTGGGTCGAGACAGGGAGGTGGGTCGAGACAGGGAGGTGGGACGAGACAGGGAGGTGGGACGAGACAGGGAGGTGGGACGAGACAGGGAGGTGGGACAGAGACAGGGAGGTGGGACGAGACAGGGAGGTGTGGGACGAGACAGGGAGGTGGGACGGTGGGACGAGACAGGGAGGTGGGACGAGACAGGGAGGTGGGACAGGACAGGAGGTGGGACAGACGGAGAGAGACAGGGAGGTGGGGCGAGACAGGGGAGGTGGGGGCAGAGGGGGAGAGACAGGAGGTGGGCAGAGACAGGAGGTGGGGCAGAGACAGGGAGGTGGGAGACAGGAGGTGGGGTGGGGCCAGAGGTGGGGCGAGGGAGGTAGACAGGAGGTGGGGCGAGACAGGAGGTGGGAGACAGGGAGGTGGGGTGAGACAGGGAGACAGGGAGGTGGGGTGAGACAGGGAGGTGGGGTGAGACAGGGAGGTGGGGTGAGACAGGGAGGTGGGGCGAGGGAGTCAGCAACTCACCTTGTACTGCCTTTCATCTAAACTACTTCAGTTAACATATTATTAACCCCCTTCCCCCTCCTCCCACCCCAGGAGAGTCACTCAAAATTGTAAGTATATTGGAAGAATGTAAAGTCTGTTTTATATATGGTGTAGAGACGTTTGATCTGCTCCTTGGTAAGCATCTTCATGTATGAGTCCAACAGCGACTTGGTATTGGAGGATTGACTTCCGGGGAAATGCAAAGACTCGGGGGCTCCTATTCTCCGCAGGATTTCGTTGGAATCTTGTACAAGAGTCTCATACTTGGCGATGAAATCGTAGTCGATGGTGCAAAGGTAAGTGAGCTTCGGGTAGGGCATCCAGTGGATGTTCAGTCGGTATCCTCCTTCGATGAGGTAAGTTACAAAATCTGACCACTGGATATCGTTAATAGTTGCATTTGAGCGATGTCTCTTAACAAACGAAAGAACACCCTTCTGGAAGCTTTTGTTGTCAGGGACGAGGATCTTGTCTCTGTAAGCTGAGAGAAGCCGCTCAAACGGGTGACGCACAACCAGGAATTTGGTGTAAGACGACACCTTGTGTTTGAGATCAGACTTCTGAAAAAGGCGTTTGTTTAGTGATATCACCTTATCTTTATTGCTCAGTCTATTATTTTAAAATCAAGGTTGATTACAAACAAGTAACGATCAGTCATAATGATTTCACATACAAGCTAAGTCATCTTGTTGCCTGTAATAGACATTAATGCTCCAGTTCTCATATTTGCTACAGTTAACCTATCAAATATAAGAGTAATTTTTCCCAGCTCGTAAAATGTGCTCCTAACCAAACCTAACCAAACCTAAACAAACCTAACCAAACCTAACCAAACCTAACGTAACCTAACCAAACCTAACCTAACCTAACCTTATGTTTTACTTTTATTTATAATCTCATCACTTATCACTTCACTAGCCGTTCGGATGGTTGGTCTGATCTTCATTATTTTGTTATCCAGAGGAAACCTGTCATGTTTGGTAGCGAGGGTCACACTGGATAACACCCTTCTCACACGAGGCTCGAACCTTTGACATACTCTGTAGTCGTGAGAGATACGCGCGTTACTGCCGCACCACTAACATTTCACCTAGGTCGTAAGATGGGTTTCTATACTAACCTGACCTAGGTTTTTAATAAGATTAACCCACTGGGGCACAGGTCACCGACCCACATCGGGGACTGGAGGAGGATGAAAAGGAAAATATAACTTGCACCGTAAATAAAAACAGAAATGAAAAGGAAAAACAGAACAGATTAGAGTAAGAAACGGTACTTATACTGTATACCGTATGTTGCCCTGTTAAAGAGATGTTGCCCTGTTAAAGAGATGTTGCCCTGTTAAAGAGATGTTGCCCTGTTAAAGAGATGTTGCCCTGTTAAAGAGATGTTGCCCTGTTAAAGAGATGTTGCCCTGTTAAAGAATGTTGCCCTGTTAAAGAGATGTTGCCCTGTTAAAGAGATGTTGCCTGTTAAAGAGATGTTGCCCTGTTAAAGAGATGTTGCCCTGTTAAAGAGATGTTGCCCTGTTAAAGAGATGTTGCCCTGTTAAAGAGATGTTGCCCTGTTAAAGAGATGTTGCCCTGTTAAAGAGATGTTGCCCTGTTAAAGAGATGTTGCCCTGTTAAAGAGATGTTGCCCTGTTAAAAGAAATGTTGCCCTGTTAAAAAGATGTTGCCCTGTTGAAGATGTTTGCCCTGTTAAAGAGATGTGCCCTGTTAAGATATTTGCCCTGTTAAAGATGTTGCCCTGTTAAAGAGATGTTGCCCTGTTAAAGGGGCCTTCCTGTTAAAGAGATGTTGCCCTGTAAAAGAAGATGTTGCCCTGTGAAGATGTTGCCCTGTTAAAGAGATGTTGCCCTGTTAAGGGTAAACTTGCCCTGTTAAAAGAGATGTTGCCCTGTTAAAGAGATGTTGCCCTATTAAAAGATGTTGCCCTGTTAAAGTGTTGCCCTGTTAAAGAGATGTTGCCCTGTTAAAGAGATGTTGCTATGTTAAGAGATGTTGCCCTGTTAAGAGATGTTGCCCTGTTAGAGATGTTGCCCTGTTAAAGAGATGTTGCCCTGTTAAAGATGTTGCCCTATTTAAGAGATGTTGCCCTGTTAAAGAAGTGTTGCTTATATTAAAGAGATATTTGCCTATTAAAGATGTTGCCCTGTTAAAAAGATGTTGCCCTGTTAAAAAGATGTTGCCCTGTTAAAGAGATGTTTGCCCTGTTAAAAGATGTTGCCCTGTTAAAGAGATGTTGCCCTGTTAAAGAATGTTTGCCCTGTTAAAGATGTTGCCCTGTTAAAGATGTTGCCTGTTAAAGAGATGTTGCCCCTGTTAAAGGAGATGTTGCCCTGTTAAGAGATGTTGCCCTGTTAAAGAGATGTTGCCTGTTAAAGAGATGTTTGCCCTGTTAAAGAGATGTTGCCCTGTTAAGAGATGTTGCCCTGTTAAAGATGTTGCCCTGTTAAAGATGTTGCCCTGTTAAAGAGATGTTGCCCTGTTAAAGAGATGTTGCCCTGTTAAAGAGATGTTGCCCTGTTAAAGAGATGTTGCCCTGTTAAAGAGATGTTGCCCTGTTAAAGAGATGTTGCCCTGTTAAAGAGATGTTGCCCTGTTAAAGAGATGTTGCCCTGTTAAAGAGATGTTGCCCTGTTAAAGAGATGTTACCCTGTTAAAGAGATGTTGCCCTGTTAAAGAGATGTTGCCCTGTTAAAGAGATGTTGCCCTGTTAAAGAGATGTTGCCCTGTTAAAGAGATGTTGCCCTGTTAAAGAGATGTTGCCCTGTTAAAGAGATGTTGCCCTGTTAAAGAGATGTTGCCCTGTTAAAGAGCAACAATTGAGACCGTGTGTGTAAATGAGGCAGAAAGTCAGATCAACAACCTGGGACTTGGTCACATATGGCAGCAGGGTCTACCACTAGACAACACATTATGCTTCTAATATCTTCCCAGGCGGTAGTACCTCTCTGTTTGATAGCTACCTAGTACATATCGTATGGAGATGTGGTACTATATGGTGTGGACATGTGGTGACTAGACATGGGTACCGTAAACTTACCTGGCGGTTCTCTTTCCTTATGTCATTATTAAACAAGGAATGTAACCAAGAAAAAGTTTCATGCTGTTTTTTACTGATGCTGACGCGACCTGTTAGTTCCGCCCACACCACCTTCCACGTGGTACTGGCAACCTGTGAAAACAATTAGTAATTTGAGTTTTTCATTTTGTATAAAAGAAAAAAAAAACGAGAGAATATAAACTTAAACTATATCTAACAAATTGTCGATAGAGTAGTCCTAAAGTGGCCGCTAATGTTGTCTCAGCCACCGACACCTGACACAAACAAACTAATTTACTCTAATTTTACTTAAAGGAAAAAAGGGGAAAATGAAACAATGTGAGGTTGTGTGGAGATGTGGTATTATATGGTGTGGAGATGTGGTGACTAGTGTGTGTACTATTTTGGTGTGGAGATGTGGTATTATATGGTGTGGAGATGTGGTGACTAATGTGTGTACTATTTTGGTGTGGAGTTGTGGTGTTATATGGTGTGGAGATGTGGTGTTATATGGTGTGGAGATGTAATTCTAAATGAGTTTATTCATAATCGTTGGGATGACCGTTTCTGACGAGAAAGACCTTCAGCTAAATTATATAAAAGATACATACATTCAGTATCTCAAACGTGAGCACGTAGGTAGTAACCAAACAGGGAGGTACTACCGCCTGGGAATATATCGGAAGCATAATGTGTTGTCTAATGGTAGACCCTGCTGCCACATGTGACCAAGTCCCAGGTTGATGATCTGACTTTCTGCCTCATTTACACACAACTGCAGGGTCTCAACTGTTAATTGTTTCTCTTATTTTGACAATAAAACATACATACATTATATCGTTTCTCATTATTGATCTTTGTTGATGTATATGGTCCTTTATTATTATTATTATTATTATTCTCGCCCCCAGGCCCTGACGTGGGTCATTGGCCTGTGCCCTGATGGGTTAATCCCGTAAAAAAACAAAAACAAATAAACGCAATTGTAGCAAATTCACCCTTTCGGAGGACGGATTTAATATATACTTATTTTTACTCACAATAAGACATACTAAGGCAAATTAAGTATCAGTTATGCTACATTATGCGAAAACCATAATTTTAAAAGATCAAAATCACATTGAAATATTTACACGGCCGTCAGCAGAGGCGGGGAATATGACTGCGAACAACTTCATATTTCTCGCCTCTACTGACGGTCGTGTAACATCTCAAGTGGTTCTGATCTTTTAAAATGTTAGTTTTTTCATAATTTTGTATTACTGATAAGTAAATTTTTTTATTATTGTGGGTAAATATAAGTATGTATTAAATGCGTCCTCCGAAGGCGTGAATTTGCTACCAGAGTTTACAATTTCTGATAAACTTCCTACGTGATCGTGTTTGATATAATGAATGTACAGGTATCTTTATATAATTTAGCTAAATGTCCTTCTTGTCAGAATCGGTCATCTCAACGATTTTGAATAAACTCAATTAGAAAAACATCATAACTTCAGGACGAAATTGGAAAAATTTGCAACGTCAACCAGTCAACTTTTGAGGAGGGGCCGGGGCCTATCTTCTCAGTTGGGAAAAAAACGCCCTTATAGGAGCCATCTTTCCTGTCCTCTTCCCGCTAACTGAAAGACATGGAAATGGAAATAGGGTGTCCGTTTTTCAGGGCAATTTAACGCAAACGCAGTGCAAACGCATATATGAAATCCTAGCGTTAGTCTACAACTAGCAGAGAATAAGACACATGACGTATATAATCGTGTATGGCCAGTCAGAAGTTGCCCCAAAAAATATAATGCACAGAAACTATCATTAAGCTGTTATTATCTCTATTTAGTGTAAAGCTCACACACACACACACACACGAAAGAGTAATCCTGGAATCTGTCTACATTTGCAACATTAAACCAGAACTAAGCAACAGAACTACAGAAGGTTCCTCACTTATCAATACATGCATTTGATTATGTTTTCCACTGGTTAGGTTAGGTTGTGTGTGTGGCACTGGTGATAAATATAATGTTCTCCCATAAACTAAAATATGTTGAGCAGTCATACTAACACTAGACACACCTTATTCTGGTAGAGTACAGAGTGCCGTGTCTAGTGGTTCAAGGTGTTATGAGTACTGTGTTCGTTGCACTACATCACGGCAGGTGTTGGGTATATATAACAAAGGTCGCGTCAGTAGCCATAGTGAACATTAATACCATTCCTAACTGGAGGGAATACACTACTAAGAGCTTTACAATAAGACTGCTCGTGTTCATCACCTTGGGTACGAAGCAGTAGATAGCTTGGTGAGTGTCGTCGATCAGGAGGCGTTTAAGTGTTGGGTCTTTCTGAAGGACCTGAAATAGGCTGGAGTTAGTAGAGATCCTTCCACACTCCTCCTGCACGACAGCTCTCCTCTCCTTCTGTAGTGCCTCCCAACTGCTTGTACTATCCTCCCCCTTGACCTCCCCCAGCGAGGTGATGGACTGCCTATGAAGCGAGAGGACGTCATCTTGTGGCTGCCTGGCCAATACCCAAGATTCACCTGTAGAAAGACAAGGGTATTATATAGTAACCTGACTTTCTAAATAAACAAATAATGTCGAGTCTCATTACAGTAGCGCAAAGATGTTGATGATTCTTGTTAATGGCAAAAGGAAGCTCATGTAACCTTAATAATATCGTATTGAACTGTTAACTCGGTAACGTTTATTGAAGTTTAAATTAAATGAGTTTAGCTTTACCAAGACTCACACACAGTAATAAACAAGACTAGCACACATCATCTTGCCTGACCTCAACTTCAACATCCTGCCTGACCTCTGACCTCAACCTCAGCATCCTGCCTGACCTCAACTCAACATCCTGCCTGACCTCAACCTCTACATCCTGCTTGACCTCAACCTCTACATCCTGCTTGACCTCAACACTTACCCCAAAGAAACGGTTGAATGTGGTAGGCGTTAAGGTGGGGCGACATGTACCTGCAAAAAAAGACAATTATTTTTGTTGGCTTTTGACTTGTACGTGTTATATATTTCAAATAATAATATGTGAGTTACACACTACCACTACTACTACTACTACTTTGCTGTCACTCGAAATCGAGTATGACGATCATCCAGTTATGAGTCAATGATATGAGTTATTAAGAATGTCAAAACGTTGGTGAGCTCTGAGGTAACTCGAGAGGCCAATACGGGACCGGCAGGGCCGTCAACAGATGTTGCACGTGTGGAGGGCTACATAGGGCGGGAGGGGAAGCGGCAGAGTCTTTCCGGCGTTGGTGCTGTCTTCCTCTGTATGCAGTCGGGCTAACTCGAAAGTATTGACACCCTCTTGTGTGGTGCTCCTCCAAGATTTACGGTGCGGAGTAATCGTCTCCCAGGTGAGGGGGTCGATTTGGCACTTTTCAGGTTTGTCTTAAGACTATCCTTATACCTTTCCAGTTGCCCGCCAGCGTTACGTTTACTATTCGTTAGGTGACTGTAAGGTAGCTGCTTTGGCAGTCTACTGTCATCCATGTGGGTAACATGGCCAGTCCAGCATAGTTGTTCATGGATACTGGTAGCCTCGATGCTCCTACAGTTGGTGTCAGCGAGAATACTGGCATTTGTTGTCTTTTCTTCCCAGCAAACTCGGACGATGGAACGTAGTCTACATTGGTGGAAGTTTTCAAGTGCCTTGAGGAGCCTCCTGTATGTGACCCATATCTTGCTGCCATAGAGTAGGGTGGGAAGGACCACTGCTCAATATACGTGTAACTTTGTAGATAATTTCAATGCCCTACAGCTGAAGACACGGGTATGGAGTCTGCCAAAGGCTTGAGATGCACATCTGATCCAATGTTGAATCTCTTCATTGATGTCCGTGGTGGTGGACAGGTGGGAGCCAAGATACTGAAAGTGGGTAACATTAGAGATGGTAATACCGTTAAGCTGGATGGATGGTGGAGGTGTGGGTGAGCCAGGGGCAGGCTGAAAGAGAGTCTGCTGAATCTTATGTACATTCACCTCGAGGCCAAAGTGTGCATACGCATCTGCGTAGGTGTTCAGGATCTCTTGTAGGTCACGTTCAGTGTGAGCGACTAGGGTGGGGTTGTCTTCTGTATAATTATATAACACTAATGTATTAGCCCATATTTATATAAAGGCTTCTGTCTATGAGACGGGGTAATACATCGCTCGGTCACCACCATCCGAGCTTCTACGAGGAACTGACTAGTCTCGCAGAATACATCCTATACAGTACATATATCTACCCATGTTACAAACCTTATGTGCAAACACTAAACTGATGAATCTGGAACCTGAGGTTTAATAGTTACCGGAGTTACTGAAATGTCCTACGTGTAGGTATATTTTGTACAATGGCAAACATGGAAGATACTGACTTATATTAAGAAAAAAAAATATCACTGCCAAAATTAACACAATATTGGGAATAGTTAAACTTGGTATAGCAAATCCCCGTGCAAAATAAAATGGCAAGTAATCTTCTAGATTAGTAAACTGTGACTCTTTTCAAATAAGAAATAACTTTTAATTTCTTTGAGACAATATTGAGTTTACTAATAGTCCTTGTCTCTGGCTCTTTAGGGGTCGCCGACACAGTACCCACGGCATATGTAAACACTGTGGTGGTCCTTGTCACTGATACTTTGAAGGTGACCAACAAAGTGCCCATGGTCTGTTATTACACTGCTGTGAACCACGCTTGTTTTGGTGCTTCTCCTTGGTATACACTATCGGATCACTGTTTGGTAACCAATCATTGCACTGATGACTTGAATGTTTTGCTGATAAATCCCGGTGAAGTGAGGTTGGGAGGGCGTCTTGACTCACTGAGGGCTGACGGATCTGTGATTATGATTGTGTTTTCGACCACATAAGGATGACCTTACTGGGTGCAGTTGCCAAGTCAGGTTGGTTCTTTAGGCAGGCTATGTTTAGAGCACCATTTCTAGCCCCCTCCTCATGTAGGGTGAGCAGAGTGGCTCCTCGAAAGGGCTGCTCAATTGAAAAGACAGCACCGGATTGCACTGTTGCCTAGATCCCAGTGCATAAACGGACCATCTTATCGATGCCGCTCATGTGCAGAGTTGTGACTAAAGACTTCCTGCAGTCATCTCTGCCTGTCCCCTTCGCCACTTGTCCGTCGCCATAGGACTTTTGGGGGTATAGGGGTTTTGATGATGATTAGGAGTATGAGGAGCTGGATGATGGCTGTGCGTGAGTTAATTTTTGTGGTGAGGAAGGGGCGCAGGCTGCAACCACACATCTTGGCTCTCCATTTTCCTGATCCAGTGGTGCAAGCACTTGCAACGACTGGGGAGTGGGAGAGTTGCATTGGGCTGCCGATAGCCCAGTTTGTTGGGCTTCACCTTAGTAGCCTGTCCATCATGCATTGCCTTTATCTGCTGGTGTAGTTGTTGGTCACCTCTTCCACCTATACCGCCATTGGGGTTTTACTGAAGCTCTGCAAACATGTCTGCCTGATGCGGGGCGGCTCCGGAGATTTTTCTTTTGGGTTTACTCCTGTAGCTTTATACCTACCAAGGTTAATCCGCAAGCCAGCAGGGCAGCGGTTGGTAAGCGCCAGGACGTGTCCACATGCTGGTGGTTCTATGCGCCGTCCCTCTGGGGCCCATTACTGCTCCGAGATCCCCTGCTGGTCTAGCCTGGGCCCACGAGGCACCCAGTTACCGTGTGTTGCCACGAGGAGGCACAGCAGGAGTCTTGATGGTGAAGACTTCTGCAAGTTGCTTCCCTGTTCGCCACGAGGACTAGCCAGCAGCGGCAGCTGAAAGCAAGAGGGAGCAAGCAGTGCTTGCACCTTAACACTAACATAAGCTGCCACACTCAATGCATTGCATCACGCTGTACACACACACACACACACATACACACACACACATACACACACACACACACACATACACACGCACATATGGGCACACACGCACATACACACGCACATATGGGCACACACACACACACACACACACACACACACACACACACACACACACACACACACCCACACCCAACTTGCGCAGTCCGTCACTACAACAAAATTCAGCCCATAAGAGCCCGCACCGATAGATATAAGAACAGCACCATCCCATCTATTGTTAAAATAATAAACAACTCCTGATTTATGTACTGTACAGCCCTGCAAATGTATTCAATGCATATTATATCATTATGTCTAAATCAAATGTAAGTCTGTATATTTTCAGCCACCGGCTGCAACTCTATTAATAAACCGTTTATTATTATTATTATTATTATTATACACACACACATACAGACACAGACGCGCACGCACACACACACACACACACACACACACACACACACACACATACATACTCCAATCCTTGAGCTAGAAATTAAAATTCAGGGTATATGTCGCAGGTGTTTCGACAGAGTGGTCCAGCACACCTGCAGTCGTATTTCAACCTCCTGAATTTATTTCGTGGTTGACTATTGATGAAGTGTAATTAATGAGGCGATATTGTATTACAATGTTATCAAAAAGTTCATAAATAATTATTTTAATTACCTTAGATACAAAAAAAAAATAGTGAGGCAAGAAGTGACCCTCGGCGGCTGCCACGTGTCAGTAAACGCTGGCTGGACTGTCACGTGCGTCAGCTGTATGAGAACTTTCTATCGGATTATCTCTTCAATTTATATAAGATTCCAAGTAAAAAGTAATAACAGAATATCCAATGAGTTTGGTGAAGGTTAGCTTAGGTTAGCTTACTTTTACTTTTATCCTCTTCACCACTGATCGGCTCGTTAGCCGCTTGGGCGATCGGTCACGTCTGTTACTGTTTCTTTTCTTTTATCGTCTTCACCAAATGATCGACTCGTTAGCCGCTTGGGCGATCGGTTACGTCTCTGTCAAGTACTGGGCATGCACCGGCTCCTGAATGTACCTGAACCTGGTCCAGTGTTGGTCAAGTCTTCTCTTGAAAGAGCTCACACTCGGTGCCGTCACAACACTCTCTGGTAGATTGTTCCAAGAGTTCACAACTCTCACTCCGAAAAAGTTTGCCCTCACAGTTTTCTGAACTTGCGGCTTCTTCAATCTTGAGCTGTGACCCCTTGTGGGGCGAGCGTCCGCCAGATCCAAGTAAGGACACTCAACTGAGTAGTTCCCCTTGAGATGCTCAAACACCTCAACTAGGTAACCCCTCGCTCGTCTGTAGTATAAGCTAGGCAAGTTCAGGCGCTCCAACCTCTCAGGGTAGCTGAGGTGCCGAAGTGCAGGCACCAGTCTGGTGGCCCTCCTTTGAACATTTTCAGCCAACTGACAGTCCCTAGCATATCTCGGGGACCAGACGGGGTGACAGTACTCCAGATGGGGAAGCACTTCACTCTTGAAGATCGTTACGAGGGACGGATCGTCTAGATATCTGAACGACCTTCTTATAAGACCCAATAATTTATTTGCCTGATTTACCTTCTTCTTGCAATGGCCCAAGAACTTCAGCTCATTGTCAATATACATACCTAGGTCCTTCTCACATTCAGTCTCAAATATTGCAGTTTCTTCATCCCGTTGGGACATATGATACGCCTCCTTACCGTTGGTACTCCCCAGGAGCATCCTCTTACACTTCGTGACATTGAATCTCAGCAGCCATTTCTTCGACCATTCCTGGTGCCCACAGAGATCCTTCTGCATCTCTTCACAGTCCGCATGGTTCTTGATTTCCGGAAATAACTTGGCGTCATCGGCAAACATTTGCATGGAGGAGTGTACAACGTCAGGCATGTCATTTATGAAACAAACAAACAACAGCGGGCCCAATACACTGCCCTGTGGTACCCTGCTTGTGACAGGTATGGATGATGATTTCGTGCCATTTATCACCACACACTGCTTGCGGTCATGTAGAAATTTTTCCATCCACGCCAGGACATTTCCCCGAATTCCGTACCCTTCCAGTTTGATTTTCAGCCTTTCGTGGGGTACACTGTCAAAAGCCTTGGCAAAATCTTGGTAAATATTGTCGATATTACCACCCCGTTCCAGAATATGGGTCCAAATATCCAATACCTTGAACAATTGTGTTGAGCAGGAGCGCCCCGGCGTTAGGTTAGCTTAGGCTAGATTGGGTTAGGTGAGGTGAGGTTAGGTTAGATTAGGTTAGATTAGGTTAGGTTAAGCTAGCGTTAGGGTGAAATATTCTGGGGTGTTTATTCTTCAGGTTATCCCAATATTTATTTCGTTGAGATGTGTTTCTCAGACAAGTAGAACCTCGATCAAGAGTAACACATTCCCGTTGCATATTTTACAATATTTCCTTTCACAAGTAATGTCTTCATATATGTACTAAATACGTCCCCTTGTTGTAGATAATGGGACTGTTAAGTTTTGGGTATTCCAGATGATGAAAGGGCGTGGGAGGAGGAGACAGCCTGGGGTCACCATGATGTATGAGCTGGTCGTCAGGTAGGTAAGTTCTGGACAGTGTAAGCTAAGCTACTGTAGGTAGTCAGTAAGTGTAACACAAGAATTATTGTAAAAAAGTAAAGGTTAGTGGTGTCTTAAGAATATTAATCTACACAAGAATATTGAAAGATGAACAAAATAGGAAAGAAATCGATGGTACTCACAGCATCGCAGTTATCAGCAAGATCAATATGCACACGAAAATTTTAACTAGAGGTTTCCATCCAAACATGGCTACTGTTGGTGTTCCTTGTTGTGCCAGATAGTCACTACCTTCACTGCACACAATGGTTTTTTTTTAGATATATTCTTTTTAATTGTTGTTCCTTTATGCTTGTTATTGTCTTTATTATGTTTGTTTCCTGTGAGACATTTGTTGTTTGTTCTTGCTTGTTGCTGTCCACTCACGAATCTTCCGTCAATACTGTGTCAGTGTGTTCCTACTTTAGGTTATGCTTACATTACACGGAACACACTGCCTCCTCCTCCACAGACACATCCTTGAAAGTAAAGATATTTGATTACTAATTGTTACACCCACGATTCCTTCAAGCTAAGTTACAACACAAACTCAGTCCAGTAAAGGAGACCAGAAGTGTCGTATTTAACAACTTCTATACAAAATTAACGACATCAACATGCACTGGTATAGGTAAGCAAATCACGGTTTATTGAGGAAGGAAGAGAGATGAGTCCAAATTTCCCCAATATTAATAGATTCGACAGCTGAAGAAAGAAGGACTGTAGGAGGGAAGAAAATCATTAGACATTTCCTAACTTGCCTGTGGTGGATAATTAAGAGTTGTTACAGAGGACAATCCTCAAGTGCTGACCTCCACGATACATGGGAAACGAAAAACAATGACAATTGGGAAACGAAAAACAATGAAAATATGGTCAGAGTCCCAGACTTTCGATCAGTGGATTATGAGCGGTTAAGAAGGTACCGAGGTGAGGTCGCCTGGGAACAGTCAGGTCAGTCCCCAGTAGGATCGTGTTCCATCACAAAACTCGGCCAGGATTGGCAGTCGGTGTTTGCCACTGCTAGCAGAGGACTGGTCCTCACAGCTTCACTTGAGGGCAATCTCCTGGAGTCCAGGCGGCCACGCCACTCTTTAAACCATACATTTAGCAGAATCAGGACCTCTTGTCCGTAAACACCTCCCACACCTCCTTAATCTTTGCTCGGGTAAGGCAGCAGACGCCAGCACTCACCCCAGTGGCGATGACACTCCCGGTGGTAAACACCCCCCCAGCCGCCACATCTGGCTTGGTAAAGGTCTACATAATTACATCACCACATTCCTAACTGTGTATGGTGATGAAAGGCACAGTACACCACATTTCTTGACCTAAAAGCTGCATTTGATATTGCCAATAGGCAACCGATATTGTACAAACTAGCCAAAATGGATATAGGAGATAGGCTGTTACACTGGATATGTGGTTACCTAACCAACAGAAGGGCTGCTGCACTGTTTCAGGGTTACAAAAGTGAAGTTAAAGATATGCAACTTGGTACCCCTCAAGGTGGAGTACTTAGCCCCACTTTGTTCAATGTTCTTATGAATGCATTATTAAATTTAATACCAGACAACCCCAGCAATATCACAATCAGCTATGCTGTTGATATTCTTATACATACTAAAACTCATCGTGAAATGCAAACCACCCTGAACCATGTATACGCAGCCTGTGGTCGCGGCGATAACAAACAACGGAGTTAAGTTGGATAAGTTTAGGAGGGAGATAGGAAGGCACTGGTTCACAACTAGGTGGTGGACGAGTGAAACAAGCTTACCAACTTTGTAGTAAGTGCTGGAACACTGGAAAATTTTAAAAGGAGGCTAGATAGATTCATGGATGATAGAGAGTGATAGTAACTCTAGACAGGAGCTGCCATGCACAGGACAACCGGCCTATTGCATACTTCTTATTTTCTTTTGTTCTTATGTTCTTATTTGTCAAAGGAAGTAACATTGTGATAGGTCATTCGCTGAAGGTGACGCAATAAGTGGAAAATGCTCCTTCAACTGTATAAATGTCACGTACAGTAATTCCCAGTCTGGATTACTGTATACAGGAACTATATCACTTCGCTTATCCAGGAGCCTTAGGACTAACAACCCTTCAGATAAGAAACAACAGGTCAGATCTCACAAACTTTCAAAATCCTGAAAGTGATGGAAAACGTGAACTCGGGACATATCTTTGTGATGTCACGCACCACCAACACGAAGGGACAGAATCACAAACTCGCCAAGCCATCATGCAGAACGATTGATTTTGCTTTAGAAATTAACTACAAGCTCCATGAATATCTCTCCTCTGGAATACTTTCAGATGCTGTTCTAATAATTTAAGGGACTGAACTAACGGGACAAATTAGTAAACATTAATGTTGTTTTTAAGTATGACTCAACTATTACTAATATATTAATTAAGAATAAACCAACCTTGAATGTAAATGGAAGTGTTTACTGTATTCCATGTAGCAATTGTAATGGAAATTATGTGGGTCAGACTGGGAAAGCATCGCAACTCAGAATTAAACAGCACAAGTGCAATATTAGAACAGCATCTGAAAGCAGTGCACTGTTCGTTCATATAAGGAACAATAATCATCCCATAGATTGGGAAAACAGTTTAGACGTGTATAAATCATCATGTCACAGAAAGACTTCTAGTAGAAGCAAATTTGATAAGAGAAATGGTCAGTACAAAACTGATAATATGTTACACAAATTTATTTGTCAGTGGCCCAAGGTTAAAAATGCTTTGAAATCATGTAAGGTAGATGTATGATAGATGATTAGTGGGTCTCATATTTTTTGCCTGACGTGTCATGACTAGTTATGTCGCCCGTTCTTATAATCTCTTCTCATGTTTGCTGTGTGGTTGGTGTGTGGATTGGTGGATGTCATATTTTTTTTTTACCTGACCATGTTTTTTTTTGTAAGGTCTACATAAGCTCTCTCTCAGTCTTTGTAATTCAGTTGCCTCTGAAGATGTCTTGAATAAAGACGAAAGCTAAGGTTCTCCATTGTTTCCCCTTTCCCTGTGTGTGTGTATATATATATATATATATATATATATATATATATATATATATATATATATATATATATATATATATATATATATATATATATATATATATATATATATATAATGTAGGCGTTAGGTGACAGGAATTGTGACATTAAATGACGCCACTGACGCCAGATTATAGGAGACAGTGGTAATTAACGCAGGTAATCACATGTGCTGCCTTTTCCTCTAGGTGCGAGGTGAGATAACAGGAGTTGATCTCACATGATATGTGTTACCGCTACTGACACTTGTTTCATCAAAAGATAAAGCACACGTAGACGTTCACAGTTACTGGGTGAGTGGTGCTTAGAAAACCCGTTTCGTTAAGTAATTATAACTTAAACAATAATATTGTTTTCATTGATTGTAAAAATTACACCGTTATAAATAAAAAAAATTATACCCAGGCAATTGAAACATAAATCATAACACAAATAAAAAATAAAAATAATTACAGTATAAATTATCGTAATGTTACAAAGGATACAGCCTCAGTTTCCAAATAAAACATTACATAAGGTTTGAATTCTCTTCTTGGTCAGACGCTTAATGCAATACTTACCAAGTGAGGGAGAGGGAGGTTACAGTAATCAGTCACTAGCTGTTACCTGCGTCACGGCTGCAGCGAGACTGATACACGCTCCCGCCTCCAAAACTCACCAGAGAGTGGGTGTGTCTGCACCAACTCTATATAACCCAGCGAAACTCTTTGTAACGAGTATATAATACTTTCCAACCAGGGCAGTTAATAGGTAAAAATATTCTTATGGGAGATTGTTTCTATGATGAACACCATTACAAATTCCAGTATGGGAAATCGTGTTGAGAGACTGACACATTATACGGAAGCATCAACTCTTATATCACTAAACGCAGAATTGTTCCCGTCTCGTTACTCAATCCTCGTGCGACACCAATCTGTCTACTGATACCTTCTACACACATCCCGATAGTCAGTAAACCTTCTGAACACATCCCGATAGTCAGTAAACCTTCTGAACACATCCAGATAGTCAGTAAACCTTCTGAACACATCCAGATAGTCAGTAAACCTTCTGAACACATCCAGATAGTCAGTAAACCTTCTGAACACATCCAGATAGTCAGTAAACCTTCTGAACACATCCAGATAGTCAGTAAACCTTCAGAACACATCCAGATAGTCAGTAAACCTTCTTCACACATCCAGATAGTCAGTAAACCTTCTGAACACATCCAGATAGTCAGTAAACCTTCTGAACACATCCAGATAGTCAGTAAACCTTCTGAACACATCCAGATAGTCAGTAAACCTTCTGAACACATCCAGATAGTCAGTAAACCTTCTGAACACATCCAGATAGTCAGTAAACCTTCTGAACACATCCAGATAGTCAGTAAACCTTCACATCCAGATAGTCAATAAACCTTCTGAACACATCCAGATAGTCAGTAAACCTTCTGAACACATCCAGATAGATAGTCAGTAAACCTTCTGAACACATCCAGATAGTCAGTAAACCTTCTGAACACATCCAGATAGTCAGTAAACCTTCTGAACACATCCAGATAGTCAGTAAACCTTCTGAACACATCCAGATAGTCAGTAAACCTTCTGAACACATCCAGATAGTCAGTAAACCTTCTGAACACATCCAGATAGTCGGTAAACCTTCTGAACACATCCAGATAGTCGGTAAACCTTCTGAACACATCTAGATAGTCAGTAAACCTTCTGAACACATCCAGATAGTCATTAAACCTTCTGAACACATCCAAATAGTCAGTAAACCTTCTGAACACATCCAGATAGTAAACCATTCTTGCGGATCAATGAATACAGGAAATAGTAATAACCGATATAGTATTTTTTTAAACCAAGTAAGTAAACAGAATAACATCGTTTTTGGTTTATAAAGTTTGTATCAACTGAAGATTAAATCCTAATTTAATTCACCTGTGAGTAAATACCCTTACGCTACCTGTGGTTAGTTTGGTGTTTGGTGACTAATCTTAAAATGGAAATAACTGACGGGCTATATTTCAGGTGACGTTAAGCTTTCAAGCTGTTTATGGGAGGCTGAGGGAAAAGGCTTACGTACTCAGCTTAAATATAATTGTGAATATTTTTTATAGAAAAGTCAATATCCTACTGGCTTGAATCAAAGCAGCTGGGATGACAAAACATGTTCGCCTCAAAGTAATTTCCTCAGTCTATACACTAACAGTTTTTAAAAGTTTTCTCATGTGTACGAGTATATGAACTTACTTCTTTTTTATCGTTTTCACTACTTATCAGTTTACTAATCGTTCAGGCGGTTAGTCTATCCAGTGTTAGAGGAGGAAACTGGGCACCGGGAAACCTGTGCTGTTGACTTATTACTGAGAGGTGCTCGCGTTACTGCTGTACCGCCAATACAAGTACAGTATACAGTGTTGAGGTGTGTGTGTGTGTGTGTGTGTGTGTGTGTGTGTGTGTGAGAGCCTGTAGTGTCATAATTACAAAGAGACTATACTGTAATAATAATACTGTTGCTAGATGCTTTCTCATTTGCTGGAAAAAATCAACTAACAATGGTTGATAATCCGGACTCTTTTATAATAAAGTCTTGGTGATGAACAAAGTACTGTAATACCAATGCGAAAATTACAGGAAGCAAACTTACCGTAGACAATAACCCAACCAAAATAACATGAAGGGTAAGAAAATCCCGTTTCAAGTCTTAGCCCTAACCTACAGTATTATAAACATGGCAGGATAACCAAGGAGGGTATTTCTCCCACAATCCAGTTATCCCCCGTTACATTAAAATCAGACGTGGACACGCGGTGTTGATTAAAAAAACACAGTGAAAGGCAGAAATACCAAAGGATTAAAGGAACCGATAACACAGCAGCACCGGAAGCTTCCTGCACTTCCGTTACTTCCCACCACCAAATTGTGGTGACCGCGCTGGCTTCTCGTAGCTAGCGGTGACTGAGACGTGAGGTAGGCAAGTGTGCAAGTTAACATGCTTTTATTTTATCTTATTTAATTTATCATTTTACTTATTCATTTATTTGTTTATTTATTTATTATTCTTTTTTTGACAAGTCAAGGAAATTCTGACGTCGTGTAGCTATTGGGGTTTCCTTTCCGGGATCTCGGGATCCCGGGCGTAAGTGGTTATGTTTTTTTCCCGGGATTCTTATTGTTATTCCTTATCTCTGATTTGCACAATGTAAAATTAGGAAAGAGTTCGATGTGTTTGAGGCAACAGGAGAGAGAACACATAATTTAGAGAAAGTATTTCAGGCCCTCATCTCAGTACCACCAACTTCAGTTGAAGCCGAAATGGCATTTTCAGCTGCTGGCCTATTTATTACAAAACTAAGAACAAGGCTCACTGACCGCAGTAGTGACTGTTTGTGCTTCTTGAGGAGTTATTTCATGACCAACTATTAGTGTGTGCATGGCTTTGTGTGTGCAAATGATTCTGTTCCTTTTTTTTTCGCAGGTCATTCAAGTGTTCTCTTTAAGATTTTTGTAGAGTAGGGCTTCCAAATGGCATAGAATATTTTTTTTTATAATGGATAACTTTGAATGTCATTCCAAATATCATTGAGTTTCTTTTATGGCTAACAGAATGAGATTAATTAAAATTTTGCTTGTTTAATCATATTATGTACCTATTTTTACACCTGTATGCAAGTTAATAAAGAGAACTTTGCTTCAGTGTAATATAATTTATCAAATCAATTGCCTATCAAATAATCTACAGATACTACACTAATGAAGTATAGGGTTAGCATTAGTTAGTACAAATATCACCTGATGCGGGAAATCCCGGGATCCCGGGGAATATCCTGGTTTGTCCCAGAATCCCGGGATGCTAAGAAACCCCCAAAATAGGAAACCCATATTCTGGAACGGGGTGGTAATATCGACAATATTTACCTGGAAATCAATCTGGAAGGGTGCGGAATTCGGGGAAATGTCCTTGCATGGATAGAAGACTTTCTACATGACTGCAAGCAGTGTGTGGTGATTAATAGCACGAAATCGTCATCTGTACTTGTCACAAGAGGGGTACCACATGGTAGTGTATTGGGCCCGCTGTTGTTTGTTTGTTTCATAAATGACATGCCTGACGTTGTACACTCCTCCATACAAATGTTTGCCGATGACGCTAAGTTATTTCGGGAAATTAAGAACCAAGTTGACTGTGGGCTCCAGGAATGGTCGAAGGAATGGCTGCTGAGATTCAATGTCACGAAGTGTAAGAGGATGCACCTAGGGCGTACCAACGGTAAGGAGGCGTATCATATGTCCCAACGGGATGAGGAAACTGCACTAGTTGAGACTGAATGTGAGAAGGACCTAGGTGTGTATGTTGACAATGAGCTGAAGTTCTCGGGCCATTGCGAGAAGAAGGTAAACCAGGCAAATAAATTACTGGGTCTTATAAGAAGGTCGTTCAGATATCTAGACGGTCCGTCCATCGTAACGATCTTCAAGAGCGAAGTGCTTCCCCATCTGGAGTACTGTCACCCCGTCTGGTCCCCGAGATATGCTAGGGACTGTCAGTTGGTTGAAAATGTTCAAAGGAGGGCCACCAGACTGGTGCCTGCACTTCGGCACCTCAGCTACCCTGAGAGGTTGGAGCGCCTGAACTTGCCTAGCTTATACTACAGACGGGCAAGGGGGGACCTAAATGAGGTGTATAAGCATCTCAAGGGGGACTACTCAGTCGAGTGTCCTTACTTGGAGCTGGCGGACGCTCGCCCCACAAGGGCTCACAGCTCAAGATTGAAGAAGCCGCAAGTTCAGAAAACTGTAAGGGCAAACTTTTTCGGAGTGAGGGTTGTGAACACTGAGTGTGAGCTCTTTCAAGACAAGACTTGACCAACACTGGAGCAGGTTCAGGTACATTCAGGAGCCGGTGCATGCCCAGTATTTGCCAAGAGAGCGTGACAGTGGTGAAGAGGATAAATGAAAAGTAAAAGTAAGTGCAGTAGGTGAGAGATCACCAGTAGATCTCGCCTGGCGAAAGCCATACTGGTGATCCGACAAAAAGAGACAGGTGTTCAAGGTGATGCAGAAAATGAGAGTTCAAGATAGTTTCGAAAATCTTAGAGAGGGGTGAAGTTCGGGCAATGGGGCGATAATTAGAGGGATTAGAATGTTCACCCTTCTACGGGATGGGTTGAACCAAGGCATGCTTCCAAGAAGGAAAAGTTTGGATTTTGAGGCAAAGGCGAAGGAGGCAAGCAAGCACAGGGGCTAGAATTTCAGCACACTCCCTCAGAACACGAGGGGTTATTCCGTCCTGTCCATGCACCTTACTCACATCCAACCTGGATAACACACCAGCATCCCTACGAGTAGAGATTATAGGAAAGTGCATAGGTGGAGTAGGAGTAGGAGGGATAGAGTTGGAATCGCCTAAGGTGGAATTAGAGGAGAATTAGGGGCCAAAGAGATTGGCTTTATCTGGAGGAGAGTTGGCTATAGAGTTATCAGAGGAGGAAACGAGGGAGTGCAGAAGTTATTACAGATGTTTTTTGTTATGGACCAGAAGGATTTACTAGAAGAAGAGTTAGTCAGGACAAAGGTCTTTTTATAAAATTCTGCTTGAACCTACGAAGAATAACCTTACAACGATTCCTAGAAGTAATAAAAGAGGAGTGGATAACAGGAGTTACATACTTAGAATCAGCATAAAAAACTGTACTATTGACAATTTTTTCAACACAATTTAACAATCCAAATTTTTAATAAGATCCTTAGGACCTGTTCCCGGGTGGGCTATTCCCCTTAAAAAAAAAAATACATAAAAAAAGGGTCCGACTAATTACCCCAATATACCCAAATGAAGTCAAATAATGGTCCTACATGAATAAATCGGACCGAATAAAGAGTTGTGGCCAAATAACGGCATAGATCTACTGACGTCACATATGAAGTCACACAGATCATATGTTCACCGGCAAGATGGCGCTCAACAGGGCATACAGCACCTCAGCTCTACTCTCCACCCTTAATAATGGTGTGTATATGTAGTTTACCTCAGTGGTTAATGGTAATATTGTAAATGACATCTTGCTCTACCTCACTGGGGCAAAAAGTCAGGGATAAATGAGCTCAGTTTGGGAATTTTTGCCCCTTAGTTATCTGCAGTTTTGTCTAGTTAATGTATATGTTATCAGAGGAGGTTAATGTGACAATTTATTATATTTTGATGATAATGTTATGAAAAATCAGTTTATTGTCAATATTTAGTATATGTTTAGGTAATTTAATCAAGTTTTCAAGACTGTGATAAGTTTGTCATTTTTACCAGACTTTATCCTCGTCACCACATATATACAGATGGTTATTTTACAACCATTATACAGCTAAACTTTTGGGTCTTAAAGTTTCTATGTTAACATGATGTATGACTCTGTATTCTGACTTTGACTCAAGCCCAGGGAGGAAAGAAGGGTAATACCTTAAGAGAGTGGACTGCCCATAACACTGTGTGCAAATTTCTCCATAGAAAATAAACTTTTTTTACCTTGAGAAAGTGACAAAAATGCTGGAGGAATAGGTTTTGTGTAATTTCACTTCGTAATATTTCACATTTTCCATCTAGAGGAGCTGTCTGTCTACAAGGATTCTAAACCAGTATAGAACCTACTAGAACCTGACCTAACATAACCATAGGTTAGGTATGTTAGGTCAGGTTTTATTAGGTTCTATGCATTGTCGTTTTCATTTTTGTGTTAAATATTATATTTGTGTGTAGAAAAAAGTTCAACCAATTCGGAAAATTCCTTCTGGTGGTCACCCTCTTGTACACCTTTACCGGAAACTGGAGTCTGGGAAACCTGAAGTGAGGGTCACACTGGCTAACCCCTTTTTAATATGTATCCAGGCTCGGGTCCAAACCCTTAACGGTCTTGTTATATTAGTGCATCGTTCTATCTAACCTAACTAATCGAGCTCCCCTGGACCCCCCCCTGATTATGTTAGGTTAGGTTTGGTTAGTTTTTGGTAATTTTCTATGTTTTTTCCCACATTTCTAATACCCAATATATGTCAAAACCATTATCTCGCAAAACACATTCTTTGTTTGTATGTTTCTAGTGGTAAGAAATTTCTTTATCTTCTATGAAGAAATTTCTTCAGGTAGCTGCCACTTAAGTGTTATCATAAAATTTAATTTTTAAGCCACTTAGAAACTTAATGAACAAAATTTTTTTGCTAAAAAAAATGAAAAAGTGTAAAGACTTAATGTAGTGGTCTTTAGTGAAGGAACTGTTTGAATAACTAGAAATTGATAGATACTGTATGGTTATGTAGTATAGTTTATCAGTAATGAATAAACACATCACAAATATTATGTTGTTGATATTTGTTTGGTTGTGGGTTAGGTGAGATATTTTAGACTAATACTAGGAAGAGTTGACAGAATTGGATGAAACTGTGGAAATGTTAATTACAATTATTAATTATATAAATGGAAATGAGAATCCATTCAGTGTCATTAGAGGGGTAAGTTAGGTAGGTTAATATTGGTTAGGTCAAGTTCTAATAGATTCTGTTCATTTGAACTACAAATTAAGCCTAGAGCTGTTTGTAACAAGGCAGCTGATTGGCTGACAGGAAGACCTGCAAAGGGTTACTCAACTGAGCTATAGTATTTCATTTATCTGACCTATATTCTAGAATGTTAAGGAATAATAACTATTCAATGCTGATCTCTGATAATTTCCACACTTAGGGAAGTAAAAATTAACACTAGCATGTGAAGCACACTGGGAACATATTGTGAAGAGTACAAGAAAAAGATAGCAAACTTTGAGAGACATTCCCGTCCTTTTCGGCAACCACGCTCCACAAGGGAGGGTGAAGGCTTTATGATCACTGGTCAGTACAGTATTCAGTCACTGCCTCGAAGAACACTGTTGTGATGCCACTTGTTCCTTTTTGATTCTCAAGGTTAATTTTAAAGTTACTGTATATACATTCATAAGTTTTATTTATTTTTATTTTTTTAGCCAGAATAGTTATGCAAGTACATTACCACCATTCTTACTGGTGTACAATGAAAGACAAAATTCGTGTCTTGAAATTTGATGAAAACACGTGCCGAAAGGGAGCGCTCTGCCTTGTGGTAGGCGAGGCTCTCATAATGTTTCACGATTCATGTTTAATCTTCGGCCAAAACCGCTACACGACTTTTGTCTCTGAGTGTACCTTGCTCTTCCTCTCCATCATCTTGACTCGTTAATAATTACCACGTTGAATTAAATGTTTGTTTTTCCCGTAGTTCAGTACAGTCTATTAATAGACATCTTCATTTAGTTGGCCACTGCTGCCAGTGTTCAGAATAGTGTTGCCAAATCTCAGGTATTAATTGTGGACCATGACATCCAACATATTTAATGGTCTTGCAAGAATAGTTATACTGTACTTACTTTTTTATGAGTGAAAAGTTAATGTTGACTTATTTTATTGATACTTCGATGCTCTTCTTAACAACATCTAGGAAATGTGATGCTTAAGAAACTGCCTTTGCTGTTGTTGTCACCTACTGTACACCCTGCTTGATAACCACATGCTAATGTTGCCTCCCCAAGTTGCCAGAGATCAACACAGAAAAGTTAGAGACTGTAGATACAGCACGAAGCCTTCAGTACACAAGGAGACAGCATGGCCGGTACTGTACTGCACTTGGCCACATTCTCTTCCCAAAGTTGTAAGCTTAGATATCCATTTACAGTTGGGTGAACTGGGGGCGCCGGGGATCGAATCATCAACCCCTGGAACGGTAGGGGAGTGCTGTATCCACTCGACCCTGCATTCCTCTATCCCTTTAAATACAGTATCAGAATAAAGAAACGATGGATTAACTACTAAAGAACTGTAGAGTGTGACCCTTCACATGTCCATCCACCGGCCAATCAGCTGCCTTGCTGTAAACTGACCTTTAGGTTTTATTTGCAAAGTTCAAGTGAACATAGGATAATTCATTAAACAATTTAACTGAAATTATAAATTTATCTGTACTGTAGTAAGTTATAATCAGCTCGACATTTTTTGTGGTCCTAATTTTTTTAATTCCACATAGTGGGGACGCGGGCACTGGGGACGTCAGCACCACAACTGGCGGCGGCCAAGACGAAGGCATCGCTATCTAGGCCAGGGACGAAGAACATTGTGTTGGTGGATGGAGTACGCACCCCCTTCCTCATGTCTGGTACTCAGTACCAGAAGCTGATGCCTCACGACCTGGCCCGACACACACTCAAGTGAGTCCTAATACTTGTTAATGGTTTGTTTTTAATTTTACAGTATAAGGATTTACTGTTGAGAAACATACAGTCATTCACACATTAAATATTGTATCTAAAAGTTTGTGGTCATGTAGAAATCATCCATTGGATAGTTTATATTTTTTTTACTTTTTTAATTAGTGTACACCCACTAAAAAATTATTGTGCACCCGTGTCATATTGTATCACGCCGTAAGGGTGACAAATGCTTTTTTAGTGGGTATACAATACAGGTGTTGATAGTTATACTGTATGATGGTGTTAGGGACTTTTAAAAACCATTGTAAAATGATTGATTGTATGTCGAGAATAATAACTTTTTGGGAAGAAAAGGTTCTGTTCCCGAGACCATGAAGCAGCAGAGCGATTATGTATTTTTAAAGTCGTAATTTCGGGAAGATACTGTGCGACGTAATTACTTCTTTCTTTTTTTTCTTACACGCACACAATCTTTGATACAGAATGTGAAAAACAAAACAAAAATATTATAAAGTCAAAACATAAAGAGAATAAGTATTTGATAGATGCATAGGAGTTATCACACAGAGGGGTGGGACAGTGGAGTGAAGGTTCTCAGCTGTTGTCTGCCTTGTGTCCCGTGCGTACAGTAGTGACACGAATAGCAAAAGACAATGCAGTATTTTTTCTTTTGGTTATTTGTACAGTAAACCCTCGATAACTTGGCACACATGGGGCTCTGCCGAGTTGTCCCAAATTCCGACTTATCGAGGCACTTCCCCCCCCCTCCTACAAAAATACAACAATAAAAAAATATCGACCCATATACAGTATGTGTACTTGTAATTACTGAATTTAAAAAAGTAATACTTACAGCACTGCAGGCAAAGAATGAAGCATCATAGTAGGTGACACAGATGTATGGTAGGTGACACAGGCATGGTAGGTGATGCAGGTGGCCAGATATTTTTTAAATATCATATTCACCACTTATCAGCTTACTAGCCGTTTGGGCGATCTATCAAGTGTTAGTACAGGAAGAAACCTGGACCAGGAAACCTGTGATGTTTGGTAGTGAGAGTCACACTGGATAACACCCTTCTCACGCGTGTCCGATATGCCAAGATTTTCCCAGATAATTTTATATATCTCGGCAGTTCCCAAGTTATACTATAATACATTCCGAGACCATACCCATGCAGAGTTATATGAAGTGCCGAGTTATCGAGGGTTTACTGTATTATTTTTATTTATTCATCACATTTACTGGTACACACTAGTATATTATTTTAGGTACAGAGAATAGCTTCTTCCACATGCCAACCATCCTCTGGGTGACGTGACGGGTTCGACTGCTTAGCCTGGCAGTCACTGGGGGCGGGCAGAGCCTCCCACGCATCCCACATGGGTCACACTTGTTACACCATTCCAAGATTGCATCATTATAACTTAGAATATTGCGAGTTATTGCACATCACTTTCTCACACGAGTGACAATGCAGGAAAAGCATTTGGGTGGCCATTGGGTAGCGACCATCGTAAAACTGATCCTGGTCATCACACAGCATAATGTGGCGTTAATTTCTTAACATAGTAAAACTGATCGATCATGTATCAATCATTCATATAACGGTCAACACCTGTACCTGAAAGAGGGCGACTCCTCTAATATACGTAACCATGAATTTTGAGACAGTTGTTAGGTGAAAGTCTGTACAGTACTGTACTGTATATGTTTACTGTACTGTATGAGAAGTATGGCTACTATTATATATTTCTCTTGTACTGTTCTTGTATTGCTTGGCATTACTGTATAGCCTCTCGCAGTGTTAACAGTATGTGTGTGTTAGTTCACATAATTTTTGTGATGTTCTTTTCAGGGGTTTGGCATCTCGCATTGGACTGGATAAAAGTTGTGTGGACTATATATGTATGGGAACTGTGATTCAGGAGGTGAAGACTTCCAATGTTGCACGTGAGGCAGCCTTGGGGGCAGGCTTTTCTGACAAGACCCCAGCCCATACTGTCACTATGGCCTGCATCTCCTCCAACCAGGCTATCACCACTTGTGAGTACTGTACTGTAGTCATCCACACACCTGTATCATCTACTTACAAACTAGTTCTGTGTTTGTTAGTATTTTGTACAGTCTATTATATTATATACAGTACAGAAAATAGTTTTAAGTTCTATTCTTCTGACATCAAGTGTGTGTTTGTGCAGCTACTTTGTTGTGTTACTCGACACAGAAATGTAACATCCAAGGAAATGTGAGGTGTTAATATTGCTCTTCTCAGTATTGTGCTGTCTGCGCCGTGTAGACTCATTAGTGTTTTTGATGCTGAGGATGCATGCACAAAGTATTAAATATACATGTAATTGAAAACTTTTATGCTTCCCAATTATATTTATGACCTCCATCATTTACCTACGCCTTATGAAAAGCTCCCTAAACGCTGTGATAAGTAAATGCAATACAGGCGCTCCTCTGCTCACGAATGAGCTACTTTCCTGAGGCTCGCTCGTAAGCTCAGCTTTGGTCTTATAGACACCAAACATAATGTGAAAAGAAATAAAGGATGTAGAGTAGAGCTATACCTTACAGTACATCCTCAGTACCTGGCAAAATTTTTTCCTCTGATAATATATAGTATGTTGTATTTTCTTCCTATATAATCTAATGTTATGCAAATTAAACAACTGTGACACATGACCTCCCTCAACAATGATGATGTTCATAACTGTGAAAGTTCTTAAGTTGAACGATTAAGTAGAGGAGCACCTGTAAAGTACATTGACCAAATACTGTAGGGAGAACAAATTATAATATCTGTACACACAACAAAATGAACATTGGCATATATCATTGAGTGAGTCACAGATGTAATGGAGATAAAGATAAGATACAAGACAATCCACACTGAAATTATCAGTGTTTGACATTTATAACTACCAATTATGTTCCTTGTTCCTGCTTTCTTTTCCATCACTACATTTATGAACTAACATTATTCATATTTTACTCTTCAGTACTTGTGTCTTACAATACATAGTAATGTGTTACGTGAGTGTCTGTAAGAGTATTCATGCAAAATAACCAGCGAACATGTTGGTAATTTTGCCACGTAATGTGTAAGCCAGCCAGCTAAGCCTAACCTAACCTTATGGTTGAATAAGGTTAGGTTAGGTTAGGTTAGATTGGCTCATGTAGTTTGAAGGCAATTTTGTGCTTCTGCTCCTTATTTATAACCTTGGGAATGTTTGCTGTCATAACCTTATCTGTTATAATTCCTAACTTAATTCAATGATAAGGTTAGGTTGGACTGTTTGCAAGTTAATTTGCAAAATTACCAACATGCTTGCTGGTTATTTTGCAAAATAACCAATTTCACAAAAAAAGTAACCACTGTTACGACAAACTCAAATGGAAACAGACTTTACACACACACACACACACACACACACACACACACACACACACACACACACACACACACACACACACATTGGATTAGATTGATCCATTAGTTAGGAATAGTGAGGGTGTCGTTAGCTGCCCTTCTACTCATAGGTGTAATGTTAAATTAATAATCCCACAGGAAAAACATGTCAAATTAGCCCCCCCCCTTATAGATACTATATCTGGTATTCACACAGGTACAGTACAGTACATACTGTTATATTCTTTGTTAAGAAGCCTGTAAATAAGTGTTGTATTTATAAAACAAAAGACTTGACCAACAGGTGCAGGCATGATGCATGCTGGTGTATATGATGTCTGTATTGCTGGTGGGGTGGAGTTCATGTCAGATGTGCCCATTCGTCATTCACGCAAGATGCGGGAACTCCTGCTCAAGCTCAACAAGGCCAAAACAACAGGTTAGTAGTTTTATGCCGAGTTTATTTTTAATTTGATTTGCACTAGTTTCCATTTCTGACTGAGAGTTTACAGTGGTACTTTATATTCACTTGTATTTAGTCAATGGATTAATTAAATTTTGGTGTGAAATAGTCTTTGGTGTTAGTGCATATTTGGTTAGGAGGTTGTTCCATTACCAGTGGTTCCCATTCCCTTTGTTGTGGACTCTGGTGAGATACAGAAGAGAATTTGCCGCATCATGTAACTTAAACAAAAGCCTTAAAAACCGTAATAATTTTTTAATCTTAATTAGATGAAACTGGATATTTCAGGTGCTCGGTTGAGTCTTCTTTCCCAGCTGTCAATGAAGCACCTGATGCCAGATCTTCCTGCCGTAGCCGAGTTCTCCACCAATGAAACCATGGGCCACTCTGCAGACCGTCTTGCTGCTGCTTTTAAGGTTCTCTCTGCTTTTGGTGTTCCCTAATGCAACAATTTTGTAATTTTTGTATTATTTGTTCACACCCAAATTTATATCGGTCATCTCTCAAAGTTACTATACTGTATTTGTTCATGCTTTACAGATGGTAGATACTGTACAGTAGTATTATTTCATCATTGTTGAGTTGGTTAAAGTTGTCATTACAAACCAAACACTTGTAATACTCTTGACCTCCAGTTGTTGTTGTAGCAATATCTACCGTGGCACCTCTTGACCTCCAGTTGTTGTTGTAGCAATATTTACCATGGCACCTCTTGACCTCCAGTTGTTGTTGTAGCAATATCTACCATGGCACCTCTTGACCTCCAGTTGTTGTTGTAGCAATATCTACCATGGCACCTCTTGACCTCCAGTTGTTGTTGTAGCAATATTTACCATGGCACCTCTTGACCTCATTCATAAAACTGAACAAGTGTCTTCCTTGTTTTCTTGTAACTTATTATTTTACGCTAAATATTCCTCGCTGCTGTCTACTGTGCCCACATTTTGGTCTCCAATGATATTTGACCATTATACATTCTTGCTGCATCTTTTCCTTATGTTATTACTTTTCTGATTCCCAAGATGCTTTACATGATCTTCATTGATTTTGGAAGGGAAGTTACTTTTAATTTTATAGTGCACTGACAAGTCTGGAATGTTAATTTTTCCTTCTCTTTAAAAGGTTCAAGAGATGTAGTTATGGTGTTTTTTTGTCTGTACTGTACATTATGTCTATTGACAAATATATGCTGAAGTTTTGAGCACCAATGAACAATTTTATTGCATCAATACATTGTCATTTGGAAGAGGAAATTCCCTACTGATTTTGAGGTTATTCAGTCAGAGGTCAAGGTCATTTAGATTTTTAGCTTGAGCTTTATTTGTTGTGTACCAATGAAGGTCGTACAATATTTTACCCCCTATGGAGAGAGCTTTGCTGTGGCGGGACACTATTGTACTGTACTGTGGTGGAACATGTCTAAAATCACCAATAAGGGAAGGAAGGTGTGTGCATACGTTTGCTTTTGATTCCAGTCACCCAGCAGGAAACCACTTGAAATATAAGGAAATAAAAAGTGAACAAATCTTGGCATGAGGATTGTCTTTATGATGGTTGGTCCAGTGAGGCTGTCCATTTGGAAAATGTGGTGATAGGTTCGCTGTTTGTCCATCTGGTAACAAAATGGTGTCCATATCTTATAATGAATCTGTAGTCACTGATGTGCATGTTACTGCATAGTTTCCTCACTCCATAAGGTGATAATAGTTGTTGTTGAGTTTGGGGTCACAAGTCAAGGTTATTAAAATTGAATTTATAATTATAGTTTGTGAACTGTTGCCCATCATCGAATATAATATATAGAATAAGGGGAATTTTGTCCATTTGGGAAAGAAAGTTCATAGTAGTTTTAAGGTGAAAGGACTGGGTCATTATTGCTAAAACTGGAATTATGTACCAAACTATTATTCAAATTTCCATGTATCAGTGAGCACAGGTATTGTGTCTCTAGAGAGAAGGAAGGTCCTTGTGTGTGCTGCTGTACAGGATGGTACACAGCTGCTATCAATATGTGGGTAACTGGGTGAGTGTTTGAGGTGACTGACTTTTCAGGAGATGGTGGAAGGTTCTTAACAATTGGGGTCTCTTGTGTCAAAGGTCAAGGTCACCAATCATTTTTGGCTTACAACTTTTGAATTTAGGGGTGAAGTGGTCCGTGTTTGTCACTTGTCTATATGTAGTACTGTAGTGTTTTGTGTTGAGATTTTTTTTCTACATTTGTTGGTTTGTATAATGATAATCATTTTGTAAGTTATTCTAACATTAAACTATAGAAATGTTCATTCTAAGTAATCCATTTGTGGTGATTTTAACCATATACATACAGGTATCCCGAGAAGAGCAGGACGAGTTTGCAGTGCGCTCCCACACTCTGGCTCACAAAGCCCAAGAGGCTGGCCACCTGTCAGACCTGGTGATTTTCAAGGTCCCTGGTGTAGATCAGGTTGTGGAAAAGGACAACGGCATCCGCGTCTCTACCCCGGAACAGATGGCCAAGCTCAGACCTGCCTTCGTAAAGCCACATGGCACCATTACTGCAGCAAACGCTTCCTTCTTGGTGAGCAATATAAAAACAAATGTATTTTTAAGTGTTGTAAACTACATTATGTTGACAAGACTCCAACATCTTTTGTCCTTTGCCTGTCATTGATTATTTACTTCTTGTTTATTCTGTATCTAATGCTATGATCCCTCCATGATATTGGGGATTGTTCAAGTTCTACTTGGCTCCTGACGGCTTAAAGAAACACAGTCTTCACAAATGCAGTTTACTGGGAGAGGTCTGTAGAGTGGTGCAGCAGGAGACAATCTGTCTCACAGGGTAATACACATGATCATGAAACCTCATGCTATGTCTTATAACTACTCAGACATCCAACTTCATTCACACCACTGTGACAGCACTCGTGCACATGCCACTCACGCCACTAGAGGACAGCACTCGTGCACACGCCACTCACTCCACTATGTGACAGCACTCGTGCACACGCTACTCATGCCACTAGAGGACAGCACTCGTGCACATGCCACTAGAGGACAGCACTCGTGCACACGCCACTCACACCACTATGTGATAGCACTCGTGCACACGCCACTCATGCCACTAGAGGACAGCACTCGTGCACACGCCACACAGTGGTTCACTCGTTCGCATTACATAAACACCACACAGGGATGACTACTACAGGTATCCCTCATTTAACGATGGGATTGTGTTCCTGAAAAACCTATTGTTAAGCGAAATATTGCAAAAAAGAGAGAGAACAGCAGAGCATGGACGGTAAAGTACAGTACTGTACTGTACTCTACTGTACTGTACTGTACTGTACTGTACTCGACTCTACTCTACTCTATTGACTGATAATAAGAATAAACAAGTTCATTATAAACAGTTGTAAAATTAAATGATTGATTAACAACACGAAACTTTTATATAAATGATGTGGTTCAGAGTTAAATGACTTAATGGGAAAAAGGCGAGTCTATTTCAAACAAATTTTAAGGAACAAAAATTGCTATGAAAATCATTAAAGTTAATACATAGCATATCATAAATACAATAGCACACATTTGATGTAAAAAAATAGTTACTTCAACACAGTTTAGCCTGGCAGTCACCCAACTGACTCTCAATTGAGACCTGTGGCTGCTGCCTCGCCACACTGTGTTGTGTGTATGCCATGACATCACATGAGGGGAGGGAGCACTGCTGGGTGATGCAGTTACAGTCCACTGCCTGTGCACATACGTTCACCTCCCACACATACACAGCCATGTTCATTTTTCTTATTTCATACGGTAGTTTTATGTTATATTTTCTATATTTCCAAGCCACATTACAGAATTGTAATGATTTTTCACAACTTTTATAGTTTCATTATACAGTATGTAACAATGGCAACATGCCATCTCACAGGCCACATCATCCCTAGTTTTTTCCCCTGCACAGTGAGTCAAGCTTTTGCTAAGCCAAATAATTTTTTCACCCGCTAAGCAAGGGATACCTATACCAATTTATTAAAATTGTGACAGCCTACCCTCAAGTCTACTCCGTACTTTGGTATCATTAAAGCACGGAGTAGACTTGAGAGTAGACTCACATTTTTCATAAATTTTTTCCGATTATGTGTGAGAGAATTTTCCCATTATTATTTATTTGTACAGTGATCCCTCGGTTAACGAACGCCTCATTTAATGAAATTTCGGTTAACGAATTCCTTACGAATTTTTCCCAACATAATTTCGCCTGTTTTTGCCTGCTCACTAGTTGTAGTATTAGTCCGCCAATACAGTAATTGGTTTTAGGGCTTAAATTCGTTACCATTTGAGTAAATATCAAGAAGGTTGTACTATTCAATAATTTTCCAAGTCTTATTTTAAAGTTTTTAGTCATTTTAACAATTATTTAACATAATTAAAGTATAGGGAACTAGTTTTTAGCGCACCAAACAGCCACTTGACTCGCCCAAAATGGCGTCAGTGTGTGTCCCTGCTCAGTGGAGGAAGCATCTTGCTTGAGACTCTCTTGAACATAAACTATTTTTACGTTTTTACAGTACAGTATAGTCTGCATTTATGCGGTCAATTGAACCTGTGGAGGTCCGCGTAAAACGAGAAACGCGTAAACGAAATAACAGAACAAATGGGATTAATTGAAATAGTGACTGGACCGACTCTCAAACTCCACTTTTTCCGACACAATACGTACGTTGTAGTAAAAATAACATCTTAATTTTATGATGGTATGCACTATGCACACAATTAATATTTAAGAGAAATATCAATAATGTTAGGTTTTTTAACACTTACGTTAGTAGAAAAGATGGCTGGGCACACTGGGATGGGGGGTTGGTTCCGAGGAAGAGGGCAGATTATTGGCCCTCACCTGTATCACTGTCCATATCCTCACTATCACTGACCTGGGCCGGCTGTGGTGGGTGGCGGGTGAAGAACTCGGTAATGTTTTGATGACTGGGCGACCTTGTGCGCACCCTGCCCGCGCCGCTTCCCGCGTAATTAAAACATTTCATTCTGGCAAAGCTCCGCGTAAATGATCAAACACGTAAACAAAAACCGCATAATTCCAGACTATTGTATAATTGTACAATTATTGGTCATTTTGAAATATATTTTACATATTGACAATATATAATGCAGTGCAGTGTTGATTTAAAGAAAATAATCTTGAATTACACCAAGAGAACTAAAATTTTATGGGTGAAATGGTGCCATGGGTGACTTCTCTTCCACCCCAATGCCTTCTCTACTCCCTTCTCCTCCACCCCTATTCTAATTCCCATCATCATCATCAACCAGGAGCCTTCTACATGCACACCTCAAAGTAAGTGTACTTTACTGCATTTATTTTTAGTTTGTATGTAATTTTCGGTGAGCTGGAACCAATTACCCAAAATCCCATTGATACAATAGTTTCGGTTAACGAAATTTTCGGTTAACGAACGACCTTCTGGAATGAATTGTGTTCGTTAACCGAGGGACCACTGTATGTGTTTTGTATGTGTCTATACACACACACACATATATAGAATACATGTAAAAGAAATAATTGTCCTAGGGGCAAACACATAAAGGAAATAAACATTTAATTGTACACAAGTAAAAATGTAACACCCCCACCCCCTCCCCTGGTCAGCAAATGTTATTTACGGATTTGCTGATTTGCGGCCATTTTGAGCACCTAACCACCACGAATTTGAAGGACATGGATGCTGTACACCTCTAAGAGCCATGATCAGTTCATAAGGGGTCCCCAAATAATGAACGAGGCTAAACTTGAAATTTACAATACCAGGGTATTTTATTTACCAGATTTATTTTTTACTTCCATTTACTGTGTTTTGTCATTCTAATTCTTTTTTTCTTAAATTAAGTGATTTTAGATGTATGCTGTAAGTACGGCATGCACATAGTTCCTCAGGAACAGAACCTGTTGGTAAACCAGGAACCTCCTGTATTTCCAATATTATAAACCCATAGAATTTGCTTGGAGTAATTACTGTACTTTATGCTGAATATGTCTTTTTTGCTTCAGACTGATGGTGCATCTGCTTGTCTTATGTGTACAGAAGAAAAAGCCAAGGAGATGGGATGGAAGCCCAAAGCTTACATCCGTGACTTTACCTACGTTTCTCAGGACCCCAAAGATCAGCTGTTGTTGGGACCAACATATGCTACCCCGGTGGTAGGTGATTTAAGTGGCTAGTTGAGATATCTTGGTGCAGTAGTCTCTTAATTTCTGTCTTAAATATATGGACTGTGCCTTTAGTGATAATGGTGGGTTGAGGGTTCAAATGTGTTGAGAACTTGAGGTGCAAGATGTTGGAAGTACTGGATTGTACCAGCAAGGTAGGGAAGCAAAATATGAAGAATGGTTTAAGATGGTATTTGGAATACAGCTCACTCTTATGTGAAATTTGGGTTTAATTTTTGAGTTTTTACATAAAATGTACAGTTGGGGAGTTTTACGACTGGTACTGTCAGCGTTGTCAATCCACCCTCTCCATGAGGTCACTTATACTGGGCTATTATTCCTAGGAGAGGCCAGTCTGAGTGAACTTGGTATAAACTAAGTTGAGAGCAACTGGCTCCCATGTCCCTAAATCTTCATATTTTGTGGCCAGGAACTGAAGATCAAGAGTCACATAATTCACGATCCACCTGTTGTTGAAGTTTGTAATTTTGGCTAAGCTCTGTATTAAGTTGAGAGTGTACTCCAGCTGCTGAAAATAAAATAATTTGTTTTAATCTTTTTTCTCAGGTTCTAGGAAAGGCTGGCCTAAAGAATTCAGACATTGATGTTTGGGAGATCCATGAGGCATTTGCAGGTCAGATGCTTTCCAACTTGAAGGCCATGGATTCTGATTGGTTTGCCAAGACTTACCAGGGACTCTCGGAGAAAGTCGGTGCTCCGGATGTGGATAAACTCAATTTGTGGGGAGGTTCATTATCCATTGGTCATCCATTTGGTGCTACAGGTAATTTTGACATAAATTTATTCTGATTTACATATATACTCTCATACAAGTCAACTTCTGAAGCTTCAAAAATTCCCACAAAAACTATGGGTCAACTTATGTTCCTAGAGATGGACTCCTAAATTATCTCCTGTTGTGGTAATTAGTGTTAAACAAATCCCAAAAGGCCATTGAAAGCCATTTAAAATATGATAGAGGCATTGGCAGGACAAGACAGGACACCAGCTTCCTTCGTCACGTGTTATGATGAGGAAAGTGTCACTCAATCCAATTAACATTCTGTCAAAAGTAAGAATTAACTTGAAAATTAAATTTCCTTTACAGTACAGTATTATAAATGAGGGCAGTGCACTTGGTCCAATGATGGTGAAGTGACAACAGACCTTTCATCCTCTCCACAGATTATGTCAAAAAAGGTCCAGAATATTTTATGGCTTATCATCAAAGTCAGAGTTTTGGAACAATTTGCCTTCATTTTATTTTTCTTATTAGAAAAAAGTCAATTTGGAGGAAATTTGGGGAACTTCCAGATGTCACCGACCCCTCCCTTCCCCAGTCTAGATCTGCCCTTGCTTACTTGGCAAGAAACACTGCTTCACTGCCACAACCACTATCCAACACTTTACATATTTGAGCTGAATTCACTTACTGTGTACAGTATGTATGTAGCTGAAATATTATATATTTTTGGACATTGTATTGTAATTGTAGGGATGAAGTTTGATTACCTAATGATAAGTTTGGTTGTACAGGTTGGGTATCCCTTCTCCAAAATGCTTGGGGCCTTAAGGGTCTCGGATTTGAGATATTTTCGGATTTATGAATATCTATACAGTACGTATCTTGTAAACAGAACCTGTACAGTATAATGGGGTAGCTCACCCAGCAGGGTTAGCCCAAGTCTATGCACAAAATTCATTTATGTTTCATTTGCAGCATACTGATACATATTCTGCAGGTGGTTTTGTGAAATATAATTTAATCATTTTGGGTATAAAATATATGATAAGATGTACACTATAGACCCAGAAAGGTAAGCAATCACTACAGTCTGTTTGGCATCACCATGGCGCCTGACTCCGAGGTGCTCAGCTGCCCGTGTCTTACCTTTATTAATTACACATATATACTTACTCTAGTAAATATTATGATATATGTCATATTTAGTTTATTATCTACTATAAATATAATGAAATAAACTTTAGGATTTCAGAGCCTTTCGGATAAGGGAAACCCAACCTGTATTGTCATGTGAAAAATAAATGAGTGTGTGCTCATGTTAGTGCCACATTATGTCTTAGATGTGAGAGACTTGACTATTAGGTGTACATTGTAAACATACAGTACATTGAACTGCTCATGCCATGTAACAGTACAGTACAGAGTTTTGGCTCAACATGTATTATAGTTGTGGTACTGTACTTTTGTATTTACTATTTTATTTGTGTAGTAAGAAAATAGTATTAAAAAAAGAGATGCATCAAGTAATGTAGCTGTAGGAGTATTGGTGTAGAATCTTGTATCCACAGTATGATCATATAGGTTAATTACCGTATTTGGCCACAACTTGTTTAAAGTGAGTGACATTAATACTGGCAGTACAGTACAGTGCAGTGCAGTACAGTACAGTGCAGTGTAGTACAGTAGTGCAGTGTAGTACAGTGCAGTACAGTGCAGTGTGGTGCAGTGTAGTGCAGAACAGTACAATGCAGTGTAGTACAGTGCAGTGCTGTATAATAGATTGATCCCACTGAAGGGTTATTCTTATTAGACATTTAGTGTAATGGTTCATTAATGTGGACATAGATGAAGATGAATTTTCCCATTATTCATTTGCAGGTGTGCGTCTGATGATGCACTCGGCCAACCGGCTCATTAAAGAAGATGGCCAGTACGCTTGCATCTCTGCCTGTGCTGCTGGTGGTCAGGTAGAGTACAGCATTGTGATGATTTTTGCCACAACTTTTATGGTTTCAGCATCTGTAACAATGGCAACAGGCCACATCATCCCCAGATCTTCCCCTTCCCAGTGAGTCAGACCATCGCTAAACTGACTTAACGTTTGGCGGGAAGAGTCGTCAAAACATTTTTATCACAAAAATTAATTAACACCAAACGAGGGATACCTGGAGATGGTGTGCTCCCGAGGTAATGAATAACTTAATAAGAATGAGAGATACTGTACAGTATCTTAGTAAATGTAAACACAGGATAAAGCAGGCCAGAATACAAATCCTGTCCTGCAGGTAGTTGATATTAAAGGATAAGAAATATACAGGCAGTCCCTGAATTACCAATGGGTTATGTTCTGGGACCCTGTTTGGAAGTCAGAACACTGTTAATTCCATAGGTTAGGTTAAAACACAACTCTGCCCATACAAAACAATAATAATATCCCATACATTATAAATAATGTATATAAAGTGATGTTAAACAATGTAAAGTAAGAAATATAAAAACCTCTACTTTAACACCTGGGAAATTTATAATTATTGGGGAATTAGGTGCAGCAAGTTCACTTTGGGGGTAGGGGAGGCAACCCGGACACAGGTCGTGGAACTGCAACGTGGCCTGTAATGCCATGTTAGGTTAGAGAGCACAAAACACAAGAAGGTAACTTCTCCAATAGTTCCTTTCTTATTTGTGACGTTAACTTTACTGTCTTTACCCCTCCATGAACTTTTCTCCAATATAATAAAAATTAAAGATATCCCTCCAAATCCCAGTTTATTCTTTAATGAAACAATTTGTAATTTAATTTAATTTTGTTCAAAATTTGCAGTTTGTGTCGAATATTCATAATTGTTTGAACATTGAATAACATTGAGAACATATATTGTTCTCCCTCTCATGTTAAAATTATCCATCCATACTTATGTAAGAGACTTGTATGAAGCACGTTAATTACTGCAATGTATAGTACAGTATTTGTCATCATGTTCAGAGTTATATTTTTATAGTCTATATACATAAGGATAAAGGTTGGTTCTCAGTGTGCTAAAAAGTGAATTGTGATGTTATAGATAAAAATACTGTACTGTACTGCACAGTTTGAGACAGAAGAATGAGAGGCCCCATTGTTTTTTTATTTTGTACCTTTCCTCCATGATCTAAGGAGTTTAGGTGGCACTTATCAAACATTCTTGGTCTTCATGCAACTGCTGAACTTGCAATTGCCTGGGTGGACTAATCCCTGTAAAAAAAAGAAAAATGTGTGGTGAATAACTGAGGTCATATTTGACTGTGCTGTACTGAGTGTTCACCCTGCTGTTCACCTTCCAATGGCAATTAAGCTTATACAAATTTAGATAACCAAATGGTCCATTTTTTTTATATATTTAAATAAAAGATTCATTGATATTCACCCTCCCCATTTTTTTAAGTCTTTATATTAATTTTTGTTATTTTAAGGTAAAATAATAAAATTTTAAGTCTCAGGGCAAGTGTTTGGTTGAAGGACGTAGTGAAAGGTTGAATAGATACCCCGCCTGCTGATTCATCTTGTCCTATGGCACACTACCCGCCTGCTGATTCATCTTGTCCTATGGCACACTACCCCGCCTGCTGATTCATCTTGTCCTATGGCACACTACCCCGCCTGCTGATTCATCTTGTCCTATGGCACACTACCCCGCCTGCTGATTCATCTTGTCCTATGGCACACTACCCCGCCTGCTGATTCATCTTGTCCTATGGCACACTACCCCGCCTGCTTTTTGTTTTAAAATACTGCTACATAATCAATGTTCTGTTTACAGGGTGTTGGCATGATCGTTGAACGGTATCCAGGTGCAACTGTCTAGGCTACCAAGGTGATGTCTGGACCAGGTGCAACAGTTCACTGTCTTCAAATATTTTCAATGAAATTCATGGAGGAATTTTCTCTGTAATATGTAAATTTTAGTGCTCCATGTATTTCTACTTAGATATAAGAGACTGCAATTATCAATGCAATATTTTTAGTACTGTATGGTATAAGGCATTCCCAAATTTGCTAATTGTGTATGCAAAGGTTAATAATTTGTTTTATAGATATGTACTGTACTTTGTGTGTACAAGGTACTTCCATAAATGCTAAAAAACAAAAGCACTTTTATGTATCATAAAGTCATTATCATTAGTTTAAGCTTATTCATCAAGCCATGTAAGCAGAGCACATGGTGTTAAATATCTTAAATAACCACATTTAACTGGCCCATTAAATTGTTCATAAATACAGAAGACTGAAAACAACAGCAGCAGCACACCTGAAAACAGGATTACTCCATCATATAAAAGAAGTTTTATCACCTGAATAGTGGTAGTTTGAGTCTTACAAGTGTTCTGATCTACAAAAACGTCTATGTGGCTGCCAGAAAAAGTTTACACAGTTTTAACAGTTGTGGAAATTATTAATCGCTTGGAAGATAGAGTTGTCTTTTGAGAAAGTTGAGGCTCACCAGTGAACTAACAAACCTCTGTGTATGTTATCATTACCATCTCATAACCCATAAGAGACGGGTAAGTGTAGTACAGTTATTGTACTTACATTGGTAAACTTGGCTATTATAAATTATTTTCATTTCTGTTCCACCTTGTAAGTTAAGGGAATGCATATTGAAGAGATTGAGTTTATTGAAGAGAAAACTAATGAATAGTTATTACATCTTGTTAGCCAAAGGGCTTAGAAGCCATTTTGTGGTGTCAAATTTACACCAAATTGCTCATATAGATACAAAAGTATTTTATTCTTCAGTTGCTGTATTAGATATTACATTTTGCAAGAATAACCAAAGTTTTAATGAAATTGTATGCCAACTGTAGGTTTGTACAGTTGTAACACTTGACAGTATCTGGCATCAACTTGTGGTTCATAGTTGGTGATTGTTGCTTGTCACTGTAAATTATGTCAGAATTGTAGCAGGAATAACAATGTGAATAAGAAAAGTCTGATAACACTGTGAATAAGAAAAGTCTGCATAAACAAGTACAAAACATTCAGTGAATACAGCACCATATGTTCACTACACCACCCCACACCTCATGTTCACTGTACACCACCCTCCTACTCATGTTCACTGTACACCACCCTACACCTCATGTTCACTGTACACCACCCCACACCTCATGTTCACTGTCCACCACCCCACCTCATGTTCACTGTACACCACCCTACACCTCATGTTCACTGTACACCACCCTACACCTCATGTTCACTGTACACCACCCTCCTACTCATGTTCACTGTACACCACCCTACACCTCATGTTCACTGTACACCACCCTACACCTCATGTTCACTGTCCACCACCCTACACCTCATGTTCACTGTACACCATCCTACACCTCATGTTCACTGTACACCACCCTGTACCTCATGTTCACTGTACATCACTCTACACCAACACCTCGAGACTGGATGGGAAAATGTACAATATAAAGGTAAATAAAACGGAACTCTTGATCACAATGGACGAGTTGGCGGTTTTGGGCCAAAACGAGAAATACACTCTGCTACGTTTGTGGAGCAATACAGTATATGTAATTTGTAAAAAAAGTTTAAAGTTCTGCTATAATAGTGGAGATAAGTTTAATTCTCTAGAAACACGGCCTCCATTTGCAATGACTTAACTAGTTTCAAACTCATCGCTGCAGTTGGAGGTACTGTAGGAGAAAAGGGTGCCTCTTCACACCCAAATGCCACATTCAGGTAAGTTTAAGGGTGTTTTTTAATGGTCAAGTCATGGACATTTTGTAAGTGAAAAAAATGTGCCCCTGAAGAGCAGCTTCAAAGATAGGTTGGATGGGTATATGAGGAATAGGGGTTAGGTGTAAATGGGACTGACCAGTGGGCCGGCCTGCTGCAGTTTCCTCCATTCTTATGTTCTTTTGGATGTAAAAACTCCCATGTTTACATCAGCTCCGCTGTCATGTACTCTTACCTGGTAGACTTTCTGCTTTTTTTTCAGTGCATTTACAGAGTACAGTATATCAGTACAAGATGGAGATAATTCTACTTACTATTACTTTTATCCTCTTCGCCACTGATTGGCTCGTTAGCCACTTGGGCGACGGGTCACGTCTCTGATTACTTTTCCTTTTCGTTTATCCTCTTCACCAAAAGGTCGGCTTCGCTTAGCCTGGCGATCGGTCACGCCTTTGTCACGCACTCGTTGGCAATACCGGCATGCACTGCCCTGAATGTACCTGAACCCGCTGCAGTGTTGGTAAGTCTTGTCTTGAAAGAGCTCACTAACTTGGTGCTGTCACAACACTTGTAGATTGTTCCAATAGTTTACAACCCCACTCCAAAAAGTTTGCCCTCACAGTTTACTGGACTTATGCTTCTTAATCTTGAGCTGTGACCTCAGGGCGAGTACGCCAGCTCCAAGTAAGACGCTGACTGAGTAGTGCCCTTGAGATGCTTACGTATATCTCTATAAGGCTTGATTATAAGACGGCCCCCTAATTTCCATTTAATAGCTTTTGAGCTCTATTTGCTGTATAAGACCAGTACCCACAACAATGTATATATATATATATATATATATATATATATATATATATATATATGTATAATATATATCTTGATAAAATCACAGGAAAATGGAAACAAATGGGTACCTTGTCTTTAAAATATATATATATTGTGTGTGTGTATATATATATATATATATATATATATATATATATATACAATCAACACCTCAACCCGCCAGGATTCGAGACCCACTTTGACTCAGGCTGGAGGCGCCTAGCTGGACCACCAGGATAATAAAAGCAGTCCTAAACTCTGTTATATTCACAGCCTGTTCAACGAGCATGTGGCCGTGAACTCTAATGGGGACTTCACCGTGTATAAATATGGTACGATATATATATATATATATATATATATATATATATATATATATATATATATATTTATATTTATATTTATTTATTTATTATTTTTTATCTATGCAAAAATATAAATTTTAAATGAATTATTTGTAGTGTGGTCGACTTCCTACAAAAGACAGGCTGTAAATAGCCTCTTATCTCCTCTCCATCTGTTACCCTCTGTTCAGAGAGAAGGTCTTGAAATACTTTTTTTTGTTTATTTTCATTGTCTAATTTATCATGTTGTATCAAAGTAATATTACTAGTTTTAGGAAACAGGGAGATTCTACTGGGAGAGATATTGAGCATAATGTACATTATTGTCAATGGTGGACCTACTTCCATATGTCACATTGTGACCAAGTCTTAGGTTTGATTTATCTTTGGTTCATTTACACACAATTGCAGAGTTTCAATTGTTTTCTCTTCCTTTGACCACAACATACATACAATATAATGTTTCTTTGATCTTTTTTCATTTATTTATGGTTGGTTTAATTAAAATAACCAATTCACTTCAAGTATTGTCATTCTATCAACTGTTGCCTGGTGATGACAATGTAGCTACTTTCTACCCCGGTGATGACAGTGTAGCTCATATTCTACCGTGTGAAACAGTTAGCTACACATCCCTACCCCCCGGTGATGACAGTGTAGCTACACCTTCCCTACCCCGGTGATAACAGTGTAGCTACACCTTCCTACCCCAGTGAACAGTGTAGCTACACCTTCCTACCGTGATGACAGTGGCTACCTTCCTACCCCCAGTGATGACAGTGTAGCTACACCTTCTACCGGTGATAACAGTGTAGCTACACCTTCCTACCCGGTGATGAGGTGTAGCTACACCTTCTACCCCGGTGATAACAGTGTAGCTACACCTTCCTACCCCCGGTGATGACAGTGTAGCTACACCTTCCTACCCGTGATGACAGTGTAGCTACACCTTCCTACCCCGGTGATAACAGTGTAGCTACACCTTCCTACCCGGTGATGACGAACTGCACCTTCCTACCCCAGTGATGGTGTAGCTACACCTTACCGGTGATGACGAATGTATACCTTCCCTACCCCGGTGATAACAGTGTAGCTACACCCCTACGGTGATAACAGTATGGCTACACCGGTAACAGTGTAGCTACACCTTCTGGTGACGTGTGGCTACGCATTCCCCTACCCCGGTGATAACAGTTAGCTACCCTTCACCTCCGGTGATGACAGTGTAGCTACACCTTCCTACCCCGGTGATAACAGTGTAGCTACACCTTCTACCCCCGGTGATAACAGTGTAGCTACACATCCACCCCTCGGTGATGACAGTGTGGCTACACCGGTGATAACAGTACTAATCCTTCCTCCGGTGATAACAGTGTAGTACACCTTCCTCGGTAGCGATTAGCTACACCTTCCCTCGGTGACGTGTGCTACCCCGGTGATAACAGTAGTTACACCTTCCACTCCCCGGTGATGATACAGTATAGCTACACTTCCACCCCCGGTGATACTGAAAGTATAGCTACACCTTCCTACCCCCTGGAGATAACAGTGTAGCTACACCTTCCTACCCCCGGTGATGACAGGTAGCCACACCTTCCTACCCCTGAGAGATAACAGTGTAGCTGGCTAACTTCCTACCCCCGGCGGTGATAACAGAGTGCCACACCTTCCTACCCCCGGTGATAACAGTGTAGCTACACCTTCCTACCCCCGGTGATGACAGTGTAGCTACACCTTCCTACCCCCGGTGATAACAGTGTAGCTACACCTTCCTACCTCCGGTGATGACAGTGTAGCTACACCTTCCTACCCCCGGTGATAACAGTGTAGCTACACCTTCCTACCCCCGGTGATAACAGTGTAGCTACACCTTCCTACCTCCGGTGATGACAGTGTAGCTACACCTTCCTAACCCCGGTGATAACAGTGTAGCTACACCTTCCTACCCCCGGTGATAACAGTGTAGGTATACCTTCCTACCCCCGGTGATAACAGTGTAGCTACACCTTCCTACCCCCGGTGATAACAGTGTAGCTACACCTCTCACCCCTGTGATAACAGTGTAGCTACACCTTCCAACCTCGGGTGATAACAGTGTAGCTACACCTCCTACCCCCTGTGATGACAGTGAATACACCTTCCTAACCCCGAGAGCGACAGTGTAGCTACACCTTCTAGCCCCGGTGATAACAGCAGTAGCTACACCTTCCCTCACCCCCGGTGATGACAGTATACACACCCTTCCTAACCCCGGGGTGATAACAGTGTAGCTGGAAGACCTTCCACTCCCCCCGGTGATGACACAGTATAGCACACTTCCTAACCCCGGTGATAACAGTATAGCTACACCTTCCTACTCCCCCGGTGATAACAGTATAGCCACACCTTCCTACCCCTGGCAGATAACAGGAAGCACCTCTCACCCCCCGGTGATAACACAGTGTAGCTACACCTTCCTACCCCCTCAGGATAACAGTGTAGCTACACCTTCCTACCCCCCGGTGATAACACAGTGTAGCTGACATTCCTTCCTTACCTCAGATATGAATAGTGTAGCTACACCTTCCTACCCCCGGTGATGACAGTGTAGCTACACCTTCCTACCCCCGGTGATAACAGTGTAGCTACACCTTCCTACCCCCGGTGATAACAGTGTAGCTACACCTTCCTACCTCCGGTGATAACAGTGTAGCTACACCTTCCTACCTCCGTTGATAACAGTGTAGCTACACCTTCCTACCCCCGGTGATAACAGTATAGCTACACCTTCCTACCCCCGGTGATGACAGTGTAGCTACACCTTCCTACCCCCGGTGATAACAGTGTAGCTACACCTTCCTACCTCCGGTGATGACAGTGTAGCTACACCTTCCTACCCCCGGTGATAACAGTGTAGCTACACTTTCCTACCCCCGGTGATAACAGTGTAGCTACACCTTCCTACCCCCGGTGATGACAGTGTAGCTACACCTTCCTACCCCCGGTGATAACAGTGTAGCTACACCTTCCTACCTCCGGTGATAACAGTGTAGCTACACCTTCCTACCCCCGGTGATAACAGTGTAGCTACACCTTCCTACCCCCGGTGATAACAGTGTAGCTACACCTTCCTAACCCCGGTGATGATAGTGTAGCTACACCTTCCTACCCCCGGTGATAACAGTGTAGGTATACCTGCCTACCCCCGGTGATAACAGTGTAGCTACACATTCCTACCCCCGGTGATGATAGTGTAGCTACACCTTCCTACCCCCGGTGATGATAGTGTAGCCAGGGACGTGGCCATTTTTGTGAAAATTACCATATACACTTGTACAGTGTGCACCATGTGTTGTGTCAATTAGTGCGGGGAGGGTGGATCCACCGTCGTCAGGGAGATAGTAATAAATCTAAACATTATTTGGTTATGAATAATGTTTATTACAAATTTAATCTCTATTTAGTAAACATTATGCATGATTTTTTTTTAACGGGGATTAGCCTACCTGTGCACAGGCTACTGACCCACGTCGGGGCCTTGGGAGATGAAAACATGACAATAATAATAATAATTCCCTCTGTTTCTGCTCATGCGCAGAAGAACGGTGAGTATTGGGAGGCGTGAAAGGTACACCTAGACAGAGTTTGCAGGTGCGTGCGACTGACCATACGGCTCACAAGTAAGTTGACGTCTGCTGTTTAATAGAACGCTGTAGTTTATAAATAAACAAATTTTGGGAGTGAATTAAAAAAGCTTTCAACGCCACATAGGTGCTGCATTTTACTAAAATTTTAATTTGAAAGAAATCAACTTTGTAGGAAGTGAGACAAACATTATTAGTGTTTCTAACGACAAACCAAAAATGCTGCCACTCCATTGCCGAAATCACAATCTCCATCTACCGCCACGCACACCTGAGGTAGTAGGCAGCTACCAAACAGGGAGGTACTACCGCCTCTGAAGATATTGGAAGCATAATATATTGTCTAATGGTAGACCCTGCTGCCATATGTGACCAAATCCCAGGTTGATGATCTGACTTTCTGCCTCATTTACACACAATTGCAGGGTCTCAATTGTTTCTCTTACTATTGTGGGGTTTCGTGATGTTGGATCGCACTAGGATGGAGGTGAGAAGGGAAACTCAGCTATGGCGGTTTTCTTATATACAGTAAATATATTATATACTAAACAGTCTGGTCCAGTGGCGGACTGGGTCAAACTTTTCTACCGGGAAAACTTGTAAAAGGGCCCACTCAAAAGGGTCCAAAAGGGCCCACTCAAAAGGGTCCAAAAGGGCCCACTCAAAAGGGTCCAAAAGGGCCCACTTAATCCCAAAACGTAGTCAAAGCAATCAAATAAAAGTAAAGGTTTTAAGCAAATAAAATGTTACATCTATTCAATATTGTTGTATTTATTTATATTAATGCGTGCATAATACAAATACATGCATTAATTAAAATCGTATTCTTGCATGCAAATATTTATCAATCATAATGAAACTGACACCAAAATAAAGAGAAATAATTAAGCTTTAAAATAATAAATAATGTTCATGCTATATTTATTGATGAATTGCTTTAAAAAAAAGGAAGAATTTGGATAAAAACGGGCTGATCTGACCATTCTAGATCTATATCCGAATCTGCATGTGAATCCACATCTTCTGCACTCCCCACTTCACTAATATAATGTATACATATATTGGAATGTAATCATTAATTAACGAGTGACTCATTCTTTACAGGTTTTGACCTTGTCAACCAATAAAGAATGAGTGCGTCCACATTGTGGGTTTCTCTCATCCTTAAAATGTGACATAATTTAATTGTCCAACTATTAGACATGAACACCCGCTTATGAAACCATGTTGGGAATCATTGATCAACTTATGCTTCTCCAGGTGATTTCGAATATAGATTAAAATTATTGCTTCCAATAATTTGCCTACAATTGATGTTAAGCTGATTGGACGGTAGTTAGAGGATAGTGATCTGTCTCCCTTCTTGAAAATCGGTATTACATTCGTTACCCTCCAAATATCTCATCTGGACCTGAGGACTTATTAGGCATTAACTTGTGCATTTGCTTACTATAATAACATCGTTACTAGTCATTACTATCTCGGTTAATTTATTATCTTCACTATCTCTGTAGATAGTAGGTGCCTTGAATATCATGTTTAAATTTTCGGTGGTGAAAAGTGTTGAAAAATTTATATTCTCCATCCTCATCAGTTAGCTCGCCTTTATCTGATAACCACCAACACCCTATCATCCACCACCACAACCATCACCACCACCATCCACCACCACAACCATCACCTCACCATCCACCACCACAACCATCACCTCACCATCCACCACCACAACCATCACCATCCACCACCACAACCATCACCCCACCATCCACCACCACAACCATCACCACCACCATCCACCACCACAACCATCACCACCACCATCCACCACCACAACCATCACCCCATCATCCACCACCACAACCATCACCTCACCATCCACCACCACCACCATCACCCCACCATCCACCACCACAACCATCACCCCACCATCCACCACCACAACCATCACCTCACCATCCACCACCACAACCATCACCCCACCATCCACCACCACAACCATCACCACCACCATCCACCACCACAACCATCACCACCACCACAACCATCACCTCACCATCCACCACCACAACCATCACCCCATCATCCACCACCACAACCATCACCCCATCATCCACCACAACCATCACCCCACCATCCACCACCACCCCACCACGACCACCATCACCCCACCATCCTACATGCCACCGTCTTGGCTGTGGTACAGTTAGGTGGGTGCTGGATGGCGTAGAGTCGTCGTTGGATCAGGTCGCTCAATTCAGCTGCCTCACGCTCTCTCCACGTGCGTGACCCATCCACGTCCTTCAGTTGTCTCAGGTCATATTGGGTCACTCTGGTGGTACAAAGGCAAAGTAATTATGTGTCATTCTAGTAGCACAAGGTCATACTAGGTCCTTCTAGAAGTACACTCTTGGAATTTTATCCTACACATCTGAAACTTCAGTTATGTCCTCTGCAACAGGCATGGGCAACCTTTCCTCAGTTGTGGGCCGCATTATGATTTAGGTAGTTTTCTGCGGGCCAACCCACCAAAATTTATATCCTACCGAACCCAAAACAGGAATGGATCCAGGAATCTCAAAAGGGGGGTCCAAAAAGTTGTGGGTGAGGGAACATGGGAAGCATGGTGAGCCCATCTGGTTAGAGGTTTTGGGGGGCACTGTAAGTCCACCCCCCTCCCTCTCCCCATGAATTTTTTTGAAATCTGTCTAATAGCATGGGCATTTTGAGGCCATTTTGAAGCCTTATGCACTTGATATTAGGAGATGTTCTGAGGTCAATAGTAATTACTGTTTACTACACAGAAATGCTAGAGTACAATACTGCATTTATAGAAAACGTTCTGGAATTATCGGATGAAAAGAGGGGTCCAGACCTAATCAGTCAAGAATAAATAGACAGAAGAGACACCAGGCATGAAGGATGAGGAGAGAGAGTCTGTCAACAAGTGGCCTTTACCTTTGAACCCGTGTGACCACCGCCCGTGACCCCACTTGGACTTAGCCAACGTTAGTTAATTCCCAAGTCACCCACTGCCACCAAACAGACTGCCCCGAACTTGGCCCGTAAACTCACACAAGTTAAAATGTTTATATTGTTGACCATTCATACTTATTTCACTGCTACATTTTCATAGTTACTTACTCTTAGGTGATGAAACAGTAAGAAATTGTGTGTGAAGATTATTCTTTTAATAAATATTGCCTTACTCACCATAAACTGGCTGCATCTACCTGAACCGCAGGCCACATTAAATAGAATTTCTCAATCACTCCGCGGGCCGCACAAGGGCTGCCCATGCCTGCTCTACAACAACACATACAGTCAGTTATGTCCTCCCCATTACCTTATGCGGTCTTGGATTTCCTCCAAAATATTCTTCAGTTCATTTGCGTTAACTTCCACTTTGTTGCTTTTACTTCTTTTTTTTTGCAAGAGTTGTTTGACCTGATCATTGATAAACCATTTGTTCTCCTGCACGTCCCTCTCCACCTGCCGCTGTACCAACTCATGCTCCATCGATGGCTCATACACTGAAGACCAAAAAGATAAATTATATACATATAAGTAATTTCCCTGTCAGCCAGAATCCCTTGTCCCCGAAACTCTCTAATAGCAGGAATGGATTTGCAGCCTTCTCGGAAATTCTGGGAAAACTCTTCATTCCCGCCATTGGAACAAGGTTTTTGTACAATTTGTGTTGCGTAGTACTGTACTGTACATTACTGTACCAGGACACAATCAACCAAGAATACAGTGTTAAAACAGTGTTAAATTGTACCTGTATAGAGTGATTACAGTAATGTGTACTGTACTGTTCATTCAACAGAGTGGACAGTGTATACCTACTGTAGGCTAGTGTGTAGAGGATGCATGTACAGTATACAGTGAATGTACAGTTCCTCATTCATGAAGGAAGAGGAGAGTTACAGTAACACCTGCTACAGGATATGGTACAGGACAAAGGTAGGCCATCCTGTATCATCATATCACCATTTGCCCTGTCTGTATCAAGACGACAGCATCTGCTGATGAGTACAGTATATTTTGTTTATTTTATATAATGTATAGAGTGGTATATTTTATTTATTTATACAGGGTGATTCAGCAAAGAGCACATCAAACTGGAGGATGAAATCCTGAGATAATTCTAAACCACAATGTCTTTCAAGTAAAAAGTCAGATTCTGCATAGTCTCCATGTTACAATATATTTAAGAAGTTGTATTAATGAGAGTGAATTTGATGTGAAACTCCCTCCCCCTATAACTGCTTGTTTATAATTCGGTTGTGTACGATCCCAATGTCATCACACCTGTGCTAACCACATGTTTTACATTGTACAGCTGTAACAAGACACCTGTGAATAAATTATTACAAAAACCTAGAGGGGTTTCACATACAATTCACTCTTATTAATACAACATCTTAAATGATAAGGAGGTGGCTAGGATTGAGCATCGTTGCGTTGTCTATTAAGGTTCTTAACCTCCTTTGGTTTAGTGGGCCACAGTTTGGGGATCTGTAGATACACCCGACAATAAGCAAGTCCCCTCCCTATAATTTAATTTTACACCACTTGGACTCTTCAAAAACATCCTCTCCCTGTACCCTCACCTGGCTGACTCTAAGGTCGTGCCTAGCATAGATAACCACACCCTTCTTGCAAGTTTCTTGAGAAAGGTTCGTAAATAAGTCATATCCGTCAAAACTGAACTCGCATTCCTCTGGGTAGATTCTCCTGTTCTTGTACAACAGTTCTACAACTCGTACAATATCGGGTTGGTGACGACCTTCAGTAGTGTTTCAAACTCCTCTCTCTTATCAAGGAACGTGTCAGTATTAGTGTACAATCAAAGACAAACAAAAGTCGTGTCGCGGGTTTTGGCAGAAGATTAAATATAACTCGTGAAACATTATGAGAGCCCCCCACCACAAAGCAGAGCGCACCAAAAGTTTAGCCCTTCGGCATATGTTTTCACCAAATTTCACGACACGACTTTTGTCTTTTATTGTACATGACTTTCAAGCCAGAATTTGTTCTCAGTAACGTCTCTGCTCTTGGTAGTGACTCCGGCAGCATTTACTAAGTACATGTATTTTATGAGGTGTGGTCAGAGATGTCATTTACATCACGCTCACTTTTTCCTGGGTGGGAGGTAGATCGAGAGGGGTGTACCGCTGCCCCCTGGCTCTGTGCTGGCACTCTTGCTTCCACTACCCTCCCCCTGAATATAACTCCTGTACACCCGTCCCCGTTCTTCCTCAGCTTCTCCCTCCTCTGCTTCAAGCCCTGTAGGAGTTTCTTGTGCTGTTCCCTCTGCATTACCGTGCAAGAATTTCTTTCCCAACTTGTTTGATTTTGGCAACCAGCAAGGATCCAGCTTCATCTATTTTTGTCCCAAAGAAACTCATTCCCCGATGGCTTGCAATCGCCTCTTTCGCTTTGATAATGCAGTCAGGGCTTTACCGCATTCTGTAACGTCCTAAACGTTGAATTGCTCAGACCCACACACTGCACATCCGACGTCGCACTGCAGTAATTGCATGTCAACAAACTTCCTGGTGCCGCTTCAGCCCCTGATTCCCTACACCTCATGGCTGTCGCTGTTGTGAAGAAGGGGGAGTGTGTAGACACTGTACGGTTCTACTCAGTCTTAAGCTCACCAGTTTACAATGTGATATAATTCTAATCGTCACTAAGGTGTAGAACTATATTCTACATGACACTGAGTCACTGAAGTGTACAGTAACTGCACATATGTTTCTCTTCAGTGTCAGGAAGTCTTGCTGGAGTAGCTACCAAATATCGCAACTGGTTATTGGCGGCAATGGTTGTGTTTTTTACTGCCTTCTCCATCACGACGTTGGGTGATCTTCCCTGGCTCACACAGAAACAGTCCAAGTAAGTTCATGGTGGTAGTTGATTATTGTATCCCCATAGTGTACAGTATTGGTAGAAATTGATGAATTGGTGATAGTTTCTTTGTGTCTGGTGGTAAATCTCTTTATTTTGTTTTTGTGATGTTAAGTACTGTACCTACTCCACATTCTTGTACATGTCACACCTTAATCTCTCACACACACAGTTAATAAGTCAATAAAGATCCACTTTGAACTATCTTCCTGTCTTTTCAGTACCTCCTTTACCTTACCATTGTCCCTTCTCTCTTCCTTGGGTGGCATATCTTGTCATGTCATGTAGTGTAGTACAGAGCAGGGCAGAGTATTGCATTAGCCCCTGTCTAACAGACAGTAATACTTATATAAATGTGGGTTACATACAATAGGTTTATATAATTACATCACCCACGGTAAGTTTCCTATGAGCCGTGAGTAGTCATCAAGTGGACATGTGACAGTGCATTCCCACTGTGCCCTCACACCTTGACCACAGAGTCATCAATTGAGTAGCTGGCTATCGCCAGTTCAACTCCTGTCTCTGAGCCACTGAGACGTGTGCTCTAAGAAGCTAAATATACCCAAGCTTTGTCCATTATTAACGCTCACAGCTCATAGCATTAATTACGGTGATATCCCAGTTATTGTGAAATAGTTTATTTTCTTAATAAATGGAGAAAAGACCATTTGGTTTTGAAAACCTAACCCATAAACATTTATGAATGTTGCTTCCAGTGCACCTCTAATTAGTGTTACCACAGTATGACTAGCAGTGTTCAGATTGTTCTTACAAAAGGAATATAATCTTAAGTCTTCAACATACTTTACAGTAGCGTTGAGGAGACTGACAATATATCAGTCACATAATCTTAGAGCCGTGGACTTATGGTAGCTTCTAGGAGTCAGATAATATGATTGGAAAATAATCTCATAAGACTTGGTGGTAGTAATGTACCGTTTGGTGACTGATATTCTGTCCTTCCCAATTGGTGGTTGCCTGTTCTGTACTGCCTTCACACATCTGTCTGCATCTATTTAAAAAACACACAAATTACATGTACCTACCAAACAAAACTATTAGCCCAGGTGCTTTCGACAGTGTACCCCACGAAAGGCTGAAAATCAAACTGAAGGGAATTCGGAAATGTCTAGCGTGGATAGAGCTTTATACCAATGTGGTGATTAATGGCACGAATCGTCACTGTACCTGTAACAAGTGGGGACCGCAGGGTAGTGTATTGGGCCGCTGTTGTTTGTTTGTTTCATAATGATATGCCTGACGTTGTACACTCCTCCATACAAATGTTTGCCGATGACGCCGTTATTTCGGAAATTAGAACCAACGGACTGTGGAGCTGCAGAAGGACCTCTGGGGCTCAGGAATGTCGAAGGAATGGCTGCTGAGATTCAATGTCTCGAAGTGTAAGAGGATGCACCTGGGGCGTACCAAGGAGGCGTACCATATGTCCCAACGGATGAAAAATGTTTGAGACTGTGTGAGAAGGACCTAGGTGTGTATGTTGACAATGAGCTGAAGTTCTGGGCCATTGTGAAGAATAAATCAGGCAAATAAATTATTGGGTCATAAGAAGGTCGTTCAGATATCTAGACGGTCGTCCTCGTGACGATCTTAGGGTAAGTGCTTCCCCATCTGAGTACTGTCACCCATCTGGTCCCGAATTAGGGACTGTCAGTTGGTTGAAAATGTTCAGGAGGGCCACGCGGTGCCTGCACTTGGCATCTCAGCTACCTGCGAGATTGAGCGCCTGAACTGCCTAGCTTATACACAGACGGGCAGGGGGACCTAGTTGAGGTTTATAGCATCTCAGGGCACTACTCGTTGGTGTCCCTTGAGCTGGGGACGCTGCCCAGGGTCACAGCTCAAGATTGAAGCCGCAAGTCCGGAAAACCGTGAGGCAAACTTTTTAGTGAGGTTGTAACTCTGGAACAATCTACCAGAAAGTGTTGTGACACCGGTGAGCTCTTTCAAGAAGACTTGACCAACACTGGAGCAGGTTCAGGCATTCAGGGCGGCATGCCCAGTATTTGCCAACAGTGCGTGACAGAGACGTGACCGATCGCCCGGGCGGCTAGCGAGCCGACCTTTTGGTGAAGAATATAAAGGAAAAGAGTCGTGACCGATCGCCCAAGCGGCTAACAAGCCGATCAGTGGCGAAGAGGATAAAAGTAAAAAAGTAAAAGTAAAAACTTACCAACAAATCTTCTGTTTCTTATTATTTTTCTATACTTATTTCTAAATCATTTATTAGTAAGTAAATTTTAGATGGAAGAAAAGTTAATCTTGTTCAAAGAATCTTTAGAAATTTTACTTTATTGATCAATGTTCAGATGAAATTCAAGTCATTTTTCCATAAATATTAAAGCTCAGATGTTTAACTGATGGTGATATTGACTTTAATGTTGAATCTGATGTTTAAATGTGATGTTGTGTTTAATGTTGGTGGTGTTGACTCTAGTGTTGACTGATGCTGACTGATGTTTATTCTATTGGTGACTGATGCTGACTGATGTTTACTGTAACAATGACTGATATTTATTCTCACTATAGCACCACAACAACTGGATGTAAAATTAAATAGGTGAAACATTTCTCAGCCTGAGTCCTGTACCACTACAGTACCAACACAACAGCCGGGTCATCTCCAATGCCTCTACCACAACCCCACACCAACCCCTTCACCTCTTTCCAGGTATGAGTTTCACAGAAGTAAGGGCTAATTGGCAATTAACCCCATTTAAAGCATCATACATATATTTATAGTGTTTATTTAAAAACAATTACTTTGTCACACATTTGCCAATGAAATTAAATCATTCTTCATCAAGTAAAATTATCTGAATATTTAAAAAATGTTGGGGGTGTTAGCCAATCGCAAGAATGTAATGCAGTGCTTCTTAAATTTCTTCAGTGCCATTCACCCTCTAGTCATTATCACACAATTTCATTCACCCCGAGTTCACCTTATGATTTGTTAATTTTCCACTTTCCATTCTCTCGATATATTCATTGTAATGTAGATTTATACATAAACAAATTATTCCCCCACCTGAACGAAACTGAAATCAATGAATGACAGCCACCACACATCAGTACCCGAGGTGGAACAACAAAAACCTTCCCTTCAAGATCCTGTTTGTGCAAGATAATGACCCTGGTCATCCATCATTCCTGGACGACTTCCACGCCAACATCAAGGTGGTGTTCTTGCCTCCCAATACCATCTCTGTCCTGCAGCCTATGGACCAAGGTGTCATAGCAAGTTTTAAAGCATAATACCTGCGGAGAACTTTCACACAGGCTGTGAAGGAGACAGAAGGGGAGATTGGAGTGACACTGAGAGAATTCTGGAAGAACTACAACATCTACAAGGCCATTAGGAACATTAATGCTTCCTAGTGTGAGGTCAAGACTTCCAACATGAATGGTGTTTGGAAGAAGCTCTGCCCATAATTTGCCAGTGACTTCAAGGGATTTACAGAGAATGTGGATTCAGTGGCCAGCAACCTAGTGGAACTGGGCAAGCAACTGCATTTGGAAATGGAGGAAGATGATGTCCACGAATTGTTGGAATGCCACACTGAGGAGCTGACCAACGAAGATTTGATGGAGCTGGAGTCACACAGGGTCCAGGAGGAGGAACAGGAGGCTGAGGAACACAAAAAATTTAACTCTAAGCAGCTGGATGAAGATTTCAGCATGATTGAGAAGGTACAGTACTAGCTTCTTTTGAGTCTCAGGACCAAACACTGAAAGATTTACAAAAGTATCTGCAGCTGTTGACGTTGCTATTGCCCGCTGCAAGATAATTTATGAAGAAAATAAGAGATTAACTGTGCAGACATCTCTTGATAAGTTTTTCAAGAGAGTTGAGATGGGACAGAAGGAGCAAGGGAAATTATAATCTACGGAACATCAAGAACCAACGCCATCTACACCTGTAGGAGGTTATTCAACCTTTAAAGCCATTCCCAGTGCCCCAGAATCAGATACCTGTACCTCAGACCCTGTTGATCCTTCATCGCCACCCTCATCTCCATCCTCCAACTAACTTCAACATTGTGGTTTAGAATTATCTCAGGATTTCATCCTCCAATTTGATGTGCTCTTTGCTGAATCACCCTGTATAAATAAATAAAATATACCACTCTATACATTATATAAAATAAACAAAATATACTGTACTCATCAGCAGATGCTGTCGTCTTGATACAGACAGGGCAAATGGTGATATGATGATACAGGATGGCCTACCTTTGTCCTGTACCATATCCTGTAGCAGGTGTTACTGTAACTCTCCTCTTCCTTCATGAATGAGAACTGTACATTCACTGTATACTGTACATGCATCCTCTACACACTAGCCTACAGTAGGTATACACTGTCCACTCTGTTGAATGAACAGTACAGTACACATTACTGTAATCACTCTATACAGGTACAATTTAACACTGTTTAACACTGTATTCTTGGTTGATTGTGTCCTGGTACAGTAATGTACAGTACAGTACTACACAACAAAATTGTACAAAAACCTCGTTCCAATGGCGGGAATGAAGAGTTTTCCCAGAATTTCGAGAAGGCTGCAAATCCATTCCTGCTATTAAGTTTCGGGGACAAGGGATTCTGGCTGACAGGAGATTACTTATATGTATATAATTTATCTTTTTGGTCTTCAGTGTATGAGCCATCGATGGAGCATGAGTTGGTACAGCGGCAGGTGGAAGGGACGTGCAGGAGAACAAATGGTTTATCAATGATCAGGTCAAACAACTCTTGCAAAAAAAAAGTAAAAAGCAAGAAAGTGGAAGTTAACGCAAATGAACTGAAGAATATTTTGGAGGAAATCCAAGACCGCATAAGGTAATGGGAGGACATAACTGACTGTATGTGTTGTTGTAGAGCAGGCATGGGCAGCCCTTGTGCGGCCCGCGGAGTGATTGAGAAATTCTATTTAATGTGGCCTGCGGTTCAGGTAGATGCAGCCAGTTTATGGTGAGTAAAGCAATATTTTTTAAAAGAATAATCTTCACACACAATTTCTTACTGTTTCATCACCTAAGAGTAAGTAACTATGAAAATGTAGCAGTGAAATAAGTATGAATGGTCAACAATATAAACATTTTAACTTGTGTGAGTTTACGGGCCAAGTTCGGGGCAGTCTGTTTGGTGGCAGTGGGTGACTTGGGAATTAACTAACAGATTCACAGATTGCCCACGAGGGGTCTAGTTTATTGGGCACCCCCTTACATCCTGTGCAAGGTGAATCGCAGAAGCGTTTACAGTGCCTAACTGGGAAGCATGCGGAGTTCATTCTTGCCTTTATGACTCATGCATTAAGGGCGTAAAAGGCCTGAAGGGTCATGGGTTTTGTCAGAAAGTTACATAAAGTGACAGAATGATGAGTGTGTGGGGGTAAAATTCCCGGTACAATTTATCTGTTTATGGCAAAGCGTAGCAGGTCCCTAATAATGTCATGCCAGGCCTGTCACTAGGAGGAGATATCTGGTCAGGGAGGAAGAGGTGCCACCCCTGTAATGGGAGGTCATAGGGCAAATGAGGATGTAGTGAGAGAGGGTGTGAGAGTCTGTTGACCACAAAGTTTACAAACAGTGCGGCCAGGCTCAGGTTTGCCAATGCACTAGGCGTGGCGAAGTACAGTGGGGTGGAGGTGATATGGTGTGGTGTGACTGGTACAGTATGGGTGGGGGGGAGGCACAGGCATTGACAACATTGAGGGACACACCTTTTAGTGTGATTGTTAAGGTGTGTTCGTCAACATGTCGGTGGGGTACAGGTAGCCGGGGGTGGTGTCCTCAGGTCCAGGTAGCCCTGGTGGAGACAGCTCAGACACGGGCGCGGCTTGCGGTGGGTGGAGGACAGGTTGAGGCACCAAGTGTCGTGAGGTTGGGGCAGGACTTCGCTCGGGGGCAACAGGACACACCAGGGCAGGCCCGGTAGGTGCTACACCAGTAGTGAGGCCGCCGGCAGTGGGTAGGCCGTGAGCAGGGGGGGCTCACAGGGGACCAACAGCTTGTGTCAAACCAGCAGAGAGGAGTGACTGGGTGGCAACAGAGGGCAGGAGTAGGTGGGAGATGGTGGTACAGAGTGTAGCCAAGTTGTTCAATACGGTTGGTAAATTGTTGGAAGAGGATATGATCTGTGTCATGTCACTGGCGGGTTGTGGGGACCGGTGGGCCAAGGCCTGACAGCTTCAGAGTAGAGACAGGGAGGAGGCCCAGTAGTAGTTGAGTTAGGAGACGGCCGGGACTGCTGTGTTGTAGCCAGGTGAGGCCAGGCAGAGGCAGGTGTTGTTGAAGAAGGCGTTGCTGGAGCAGGGGTACAGGGGGTGTGGCTCGGAAGACTGGGGTGGGGGGGGGCGTTGTGGTAGACTTGGTCTTCGGGGGCGATTGTGGCATTGCCGTGAGTCAGCATTGTGCCGGCCGCCACAGTTACAACATCTGGGATTAATTACATAGTCCACCCCACCACTATTAAGGTGGTCTTTGATTTTCTGGGCACAGGCGGCGGAGTTGTGGTTACGTGAACAGAAGCGACATCTCGGCCGATCACGTCGACAGCAGACAGTGAAGTTCTAACCCCAATGAGAACAGAAAACACAAAATGCAGGCTCAGGATGATAGGCTTCTGCATACAGTGGGGGTAAGAGTGGGTGGGCATCCACAGTGGTTGGGCACTCCCTTCCCTTCCACTTGACAATGACAGCGGGTTGTGGAACTCTCCCCCGGTAATGGCGACGTATACTCAGTATACTAGAGTTAAAGTCACGCGCATCTTCGATGTCAGCGTATAAGGGGAAACGTTTCACTAGGATGTGGCAACATTCATCCGCGTCTACTGGGGGGGGGGGTGGGGCACCAGGACGACCCCGTCAAAGCCAACAGTACTAAGTGTTTCATAGACCTCAGAAGTCTGACACTTAATAAAGTTCCGGTTCTTGCCTTGTCGGAATTGAATGTTGAGACAGTGTTGTCTGCAGTACTTCATCATCTAATTAAAGTGTTCCTCTACAGTTTTCATAGAGTCCTTGGGGAAGTGGAGATTCAGCTTACTTGTTTGTTTGGCAGAGGTCAGGGTGATAGGGTCCATGGCATTGGTGTTTCCACTGTGGCTAGTGTTTCCCATAGAAACATTACCGTCACTGTCATAATCACTGGGGTCTGACTCTTGAAGGGTGTTGGATTCAGTATGACCAGGCGAGTTGGTAATGGCATTGTGGGGTACGGGTTGTTTCTCCTCCATCCTGTGTGAGTGCGAATTTCTGGGGGTCACCATTTGTGGGGTACGGGTTATTTGATTCACACTCAGGATGGGATGGAGAAAGGAAACTCACAATGTGCTCTCTGTATACATGTTGTATTGGATGTACAATGCAGCTTGGTGCTGGGAAGGCAGCATGGTTACAAGCGTTGAGTAGAGCGAGCTGGTTGGTGAGGGTGCTCAGAGGAGGACCAGCTTGTGGGTCGCCATGCTCGCCATGTTCCCTCACCCACAACTTTTTGGACCCCCCTTTTGAGATTCCTGGATCCATTCCTGTTTTGGGTTGGGTAGGATATAAATTTTGGTGGGTTGGCCCGCAGAAAACTACCTAAATCATAATGCGGCCCACAACTGAGGAAAGGTTGCCCATGCCTGTTGCAGAGGACATAACTGAATTTTCAGATGTGTAGGATAAAATTCCAAGAGTGTACTTCTAGAAGGACCTAGTATGACCTTGTGCTACTAGAATGACACATAATTACTTTGCCTTTGTACCACCAGAGTGACCCAATATGACCTGAGACAACTGAAGGACGTGGATGGGTCACGCACGTGGAGAGAGCGTGAGGCAGCTGAATTGAGTGACCTGATCCAACGACGACTCTACGCCATCCAGCACCCACCTAACTGTACCACAGCCAAGACGGTGGCATGTAGGATGGAAAGAGTGAGTACAATAACTTGACTGTATCTCAGTAAAGATGGTGTCTAGGAGAGACAAGGTGAGTGCCACTAAACTCCACCTGTACCACAGCCTAAAAGTGCACCAAACATTTATACAAACTATACGCAGCCTTATACTTGCACAGTTCTACATACCATACAGTATTGTTTGGATATTTCTCATTTCTCATTTATTTATTTATTTATTTACCAATTTCCAGTTACCTGAAGTATTTCCCCTTTTAAGTTTCTTATTACTGTCTCTGGTTTAAGAACTCCCAAAAAGAAATTAAATTATTTGCATAAAATAAAACAAGGCTTCAGGTAACTGTAAACTGGTAAATAATAGAGAGTTTCCAGAGCTATATTTAGTTGTAATCTGTAAATTGGTAAATAATAGAGCTTCCAGAGCTATATTTAGTTGTAATCTGTAAATTGGTAAATAATAGAGCTTCCAGAGCTATATTTAGTTGTAATCTGTAAATTGGTAAATAATAGAGCTTCCAGAGCTATATTTAGTTGTAATCTGTAAATTGGTAAATAATAGAGCTTCCAGAGCTATATGTAGTTGTGATCTGTAAACCCCTTCCGGCCTTCTGACTGTGGGTTTCTAATCAAGAAATACTGAAGTAGAAAGTATTCTTCTGGAAACAGAAAATGTTAAAGCTTGAGATGTTTGTCAAACTGAGTTAACACAAAGTGTATGGTAGTTGGAATAAATTTTTTGACTTTGTTGCCTATGACTGTAAAATACAATTTTCCTTTAAATTTTCTAAATTAACATCAAAATTACCATTTCACTGACCAGTTTCTACGTTTCCCTGCTTTTAAAATTTTCATGACATTCAAATTTCCCAGATACTGTACTGTACTTGAAGACTGCCAAGGCAAAGTGTTCATATCCTGTTATGCAGGATAGTCAACAAAGTTACGTAAGATTAAGGTGATACATAATGTCAGAAATAAGTTGATGAAAAGTTTTTGTTAGACTTAAATATACCAGGGGATCCAGGGGGGCAGAGCCCCCTGGTTAGGTAATTTTAAGTCATTTGCGAGGGAAATGTCATAGAAGAAAAGTTTCTTAACATTGTTGAAACCATCGGAAAAACACATTGCCCAACAAAAAATCCGTGGTTGTCCACTTGTAAAAATTTACCCCAAATTCTTTGTTTGTACCAGGGGTGCGGGATTGGATGTCAGCTGCACCACGTATTGTACTGCGTGATGGCTGCTTATGGGAGCCAGAGGACCTTGGTGCTATATCCTGGCAATTGGAACAAGTACTTCCTTCCCATCAATAGCTCCTGCAACTCTTCACACCTCACCAACATCTCCAGGTGGCCGGGTAATGTCTCAGCCAAGGAAGAAACCAAATTAAACCTATCGTTCAACAACCAACATATTGTTTATTTGTACCATAAGCACATTTTCTTTTCTGCACCACAAACTTACTTATTACAGTTACACTTATTTTATGCCACACTCATACAATAAACAAAAACATACTGTGACAGCACCACTCTACACCAAAAACAGTGTATTACAATGATAAGACAACAATTACGGTGGTTTATATTGGTGATATATGTTATAGTGGTTTATATTGGTGATATATGTTATAGTGGTTTATATTGGTGATATATGTTATAGTGGTTTATATTGGTGATATATGTTATAGTGGTTTATATTGGTGATATATGTTATAGTGGTTTATATTGACATAATTAGCTACAGGACTGGAGGGAGACATCCGGGTGATAGAGTTCCCCCTCTGGGACAAGCCGGTACCAGCGCCGGATTACATGCCTCTGTCTCTACCACGGGACATTTGGCGGCGGCTAGTGAGATTTCATGGGGATCCTGGTGCCTGGTGGGTTGGCCAGTTCTTCCAGTATGTGCTACGTCCCAACCAGCACTTACAGGACATTATCCACAACCTGACCACCACACTTGACTTCCAGACGCCCATTGTCGGGTAAATCCAGAGGTTGCATCCCTCTCTGTCATATTATTGTACACAGTAGATATTAGTGACTAGTATATGGTGTCCACTGCATCATTCTGTGTCGGAATTTCTCTCTCTCTCTCTCTCTCTCTTCCACGTGATAATTAAATGTAAATAAATCACTATGAACTGAATTATATATCTGATTTAAAAGGCGACTCAGCTTAGGAATGTCACACCATTTCCACAGTGTTAAGTTTCTTGTATTTTGGTTATACACATTCGATGCCTTCCATGACACACCTGTAAGGAACTTCCACCGTTTTGTAAAGGGTTTGAGATCCTCTATACTGTACTGTACACCTGGTAAACTCCAGGGCTCAACATAACTATAATTTCTATTATAATTATTTTAGAGGGTAACATTATGAATCTAGCTTCTATCCTCAGTACTGTACACTGTATATCACTCTCGGCTATCCCCTTCCTCTGTAGGAGTAAACAGTGGGCTTCATAACTGACCTAACCCGAGGATCCATAAGAATGCGCTTGCTTGCCAGTTTAGATGGTGACACACTGGGCAATTTCCTCCTAACATGTTGTCCATTTTGCTAGCCTGATGTCCAAGCAAGCAGCAGGATTTTGGCTGTTGCGAGAAATGGACGACGGTTTGAGGGCGAGTTCTGCTGGCCGGGTTAGTGCTCAACTGAGCTTCATATTAGGTGTTGAATATTTAAATAAAAATTTAATAAATCATTAAACAATAATAATTTTTAATATAATACATAAAACGATGACAAGTTTCTATTTACAGTAGTTGTCACTTTAAAAATTCCTCGTTAGCCGCCCAAGCGGCTAACGAGCCGATCAGTGGTGAAGAGGATAAAAGTATATCATTATTGAGGGTCTTCTTGGACCATCCATCCACCGCCACGTTTAAACAAACTTCACGACGCACCAATTGTCTTTTCTTTAGGTTTTGCAGAGGCCTCACCTGCTTCAGTAATTGTAGAACTACAGTCTAATTGTAACCCCAAAAATTTAAAGTTTGCATTTTATTGAATTTTTTATAACACCTGTCAAGAGTTACATTAAAATATCTGGTAATGCAGACTTCTGGACACACTAATCCCGAGGAGACTAAAGAATACTCCTTTCCAGAAACTATGTTTATGGCAACGTCATTTTTTTATAATTAAGCTTACAAGATAGGCTTTGGTAACAACAAGCTTGAAGGTTAGGATTTTCTTGACTTACGAACCCCTCAGAGACAGATTATTCTGGATTAATTATCACGAAGGATGGAAACTTTTGTCAACATACTAACCGCCTGAAGTCATCATTAAAACTTTCTTGTAGACCTGTATCAAGCAGAGTACATGTACTGTACAGTGATAATCCTTAACACCTACAGAGTACATGTGTGATTCTCATCCTTAATACTTACAGAGTACGTGTGTGATTCTCATCCTTAATACTTACAGAGTACATATAAGACTGACTGATAAGAAGAAAGAGGCAAAATTGCACAGTCTGGAGGAATACATGACTCAAGTGGAGGAGTACTACAAGGTTTTGGACCTAAAGGAGAAAAATGCCACTCGTAGGATCTACCTCGCCTCCGATGAGCGGAAAATTTTTTCCGATGCAAAAATAAAGTAATTTTGTTTCTGTCTTTAGTCTTGAAGAGTATCAAATTAAGTTCTGTGTACAATACACATTTGTTTACCCATTTTTCCCTTCCCTCTTCAAGATCTCTTATTTTTTGCCTTTCAAGGATTCATACTGTCTGCAGGGTAACTCAAGATTAGAGTTACAATGTCCATACTTAGTTTATCTATTCAGATTGTTAACTAAAGTTAATTCAGATTTAGAGCAGCTGGAAACAGAGACTGGAATGAAATTTGAAATTGAAGCCCAAACCCAAAACAAATTTGCAGAAAAGTGTCACAAGAGGAGGGGCTAAAAAAAAAGTGAAATGTGGAGTAGACAGGATTGGGCAGACACTAAAAAGATATGCAAGGAAAAGAAAGATGATATCAGTAGATACAAATGGTTCCTCTCAGTTGTGAATACTTACAGATACCCGCACTACCAGATCCTGTACAACCCAGAGAGCGAGAAGTTAGGCGAGTTGAAGCTGCGTCGCTACTCCGTGTCGTCTTGTTTAACCGACATATTCATGCTATCTCGCTGCAGCCTCGTGGTGGCCACCTTATCGTCCAATGTGAGTCCTTACTGATAATTTCACACACTTTCTGCAGCTCTGGATGATAGAGGTAGTCTTGTAAGTGATATTATGTTACTGTTACATTCACACCCAGTACAGGATCCACACTACAGGACCCATACTACAGAACCCACACTACAGAACCCACACTACAGGAGGAACCACACTACAGAACCCACATTACAGAACAGACACTACAGGACCCACACTACAGAACCCACATTACAAGAACCACACTACAGGACCCACACTACTGGACTCACACTACAGGACCCACACTACAAGACCCATACTACAGGACCCATACTTCAGGACCCACACTACAGGACCCACATTATCATTTAAGAAATAATTGCATGTATAAAAGTCAAACACTTACTTAATGCACAATATGAATAAGGGCGAGTGATGAACAACGAATGCATTTTGTGAACCCATCAATTGTGATTGTTCTCAATGGCACATGTTGGGTGTGGCGACAATTCCTAGTAAAAGGAGTGTATTAAAAGGGAAACGGCAAGTGAAATGAAAATATGGATTATGATAATATGACTTAGATTAATGGAGAGTTTGGCACTAGGGATAGAATGATATGGTGGTCAACTTTTTCTTCAAGAGTTATCAGGACTATTTGATAAAAAATAGCATAATTTGGTAACTATTTATTAATCAGTGAGAAGGTATTGCTCCCCTGGTCAAAGTGGCAGTAAAGGATATGTCTGTCTTCGTTTCATCACAACTTGGGGAACAGATTGGTCGACTGGTCTATGAGATAATGCAGAGTCTTTACCCCGACGGCTCCTTGTACTTCAGTTCACTCGACAATGACTACTTCGTTCACTTCCAACGACCAAAACTCGCCCGAGCCCGCTTCCCTCACTCTCCCCGCAGGTCAGTACCACTCTCTATGGCTCTCCTCAAAATCAAACAAATTTTCCTCCGTCAATTGACTTGCCAAGTTTCATCAAAATTATTCCATTTTTAAAGTAATATATGTTAAGGTTATTTTCAGCCAGTGTCTGGATCACCTACCGTTCAGGTATTTTTGTATCAGTAATTGTTCCAAATGAATTTAAATCTTTGCAAAACTCCTGCCTCCTAATACTGAATCTTTATCGATGCATAACTGCTGAGAAGATATAATTTATAGTATATATGAATTCATTATTTCAATACGGAATGAAAGGATCCAGTGTTGCCTTCTTCTGGGATAAGTGTTGAATAAAGTAAAGAACAATAATAACCCATCATTCTGGGTCTATTGGACCATGGTATAAGTATGCTAAGTCTCAACTCCTCTCAGAATTGAAGGAGTGACAATGAAGCGTGGTTTTTTTTTTTTACGAGAAGACTAAACAGAAAAAAAAGAAATGTCCTCATCTCTCGGCGGTGAGTTAAATATTCCTCGCTTCCTCTCAGACAAGGGATGAGGTAAAAATGTTGAAAGATAGAATTAATTTATCTCTTACTAATTGTAAAATATTTTTCTTTCTCTGGGTGGGGCAACAGGCAGGGGGTGATTAAGATGCAGACGGGAGACCTTGTGAAAGAGGGCTACAAATACCCCATAAACTTCCACAATGGCTTTGCGGAGGGTATCAACCTCAGAACCAAGGAGAAAGGTAAATACCCTTACTACAAGGTTGAGAGTGTCTACGATATTGTTAATACTTCTTACAGTCATGATGATGCAACAGGAAAGTTATAAGAAAACGTCAGAGAAAAGGCCAAGAGATTCATCCATCTTATTGTTACACCTTGTCAGCTGTTGTTCAAGTTATTATTGGTGTAAATCAACCTAACAAGTCTGACTGTGTTAAAATTGTAAAGGAGTGACAAAATTCATCACTTACTGTGGTAAACATTTTGGGTTCTATAAAGTTGTACATGAATTACAGCATATTCAGTACTGTCCAGGTATGTGATCATACATGGAATATGAAGCATCTGTATGACTCCTAGTTCTCACACAATAAGACTAGAAAATTAGAAAAAGTGGAAACATGTACAGTTGCCTCCAGGTGTTGTTGCAAGAGAGGCACGGTAGGTGGTAACAACACACCTGGAGGCGTCTGTGTGTGTTAAATTGTTCCAGATGGTGATCACACAGTCTTGCATAACAATTTGTTGTAAACATCTGGGTGTGTTCATCACCTTGTTCACATATCACTTTCTTATCATTGATGTAGCACCACTAATAGCACTGTATATGTTTACTATAAGTTTTTGGCTCCATACTTTCATCATATCTGTAGTTTTGTAATTTGAACTTAATGTACATTATAATTCATAAACTCGTGGATTATATTCCCAGTTGTGTGAAATATATCGTTAACACTGTTGCTGCTGTTGCTATTATCATTAATTATGAAATTGTTGTTATTATTACACATACATGCATTACATGTACTCGTGCAATTCACTAGTTTATGTCCGAACCTTCTCAGAGAAACACAGGTATATCTGGTTAATGTTTTTTGGAGAATCTGACCTACTCTTAACAATGACTTTTGTCAAAGTTGGAAAAGTGACATTTTATCTTCTCCATAATATCAAAATTAATGAATCCTTCTTTACACTAATAGCTAACTATTGTGTTACAGGAGCTAATAATACACCACTAAAAATTAAACGACCACTTTTTCAGTATTTTTAGTACTGTACAGTTTACAATATCTACAAATAAAGAAAGACGCCAAACTGTTAAATATTTTAGGAAAGTCAAGGGGCACTCCATGGGTTTCACAGCTGTGGTCTGCTGACCGGTCAACTGAATATGGGTAGTGTTGGACTTTTACCCTTTTCTGACCCTCAGTCATCTCAGTAGGCCACACGAGTGGCCCTCCGTCATATCCGTGGTCCACACAAGTGGCCCTTTGTCATCTCAGTGGGCTGCACGAGTGGCCCTCCGTCATCTCAGTGGGTCACAAAAGAAACAAATAATGGTATGTGTTAGGTATTCTGGGTAATAAGTTCTATATACAGGAGAGAACACAAACACCTGTATAGTTTGTAGGTTCGGTTTACTGGATAAGAGTATGTACACAGAGGTGGATAGCACTGCTCCTAGTAAGGTCCTGGTCAACTACTCAGACGACGTATGGCAAGTGATACATTAGCAGCTTCCATACGTCGCCAGGCACATAATTAAGCGTGTGGGATATGGTAATAACATTGCCACGCTGCTAGCTAGGCTGAATAAATATAAATGGAGCACATACATAATATACATACATAATACATAATCAGCATACATAATATACATACAGTATGTTCAATACACTGCCTCCCATTATAGGACACCTGGAGATGATTACCTTGCAATACTGTACATCATAGGTAAACACAGCCACCAACAATGATGATCATGAAGTACTCCCATATAAAGAAATAAATATGCATATTTTGTGTGAATCTAAATATTCTGTACAGTTGTATTAGGACCCCGCGCACCCTGACCTCACCAGCACGGCGGCCATTACCCCCGTGAACCGTCCCACCATGTGAGATGATTACTCCCAGCTATGCCATTCCACTGTAAGCCTGTGGATTCCCGGCATACCACCACATATGAGTAGGAATACATAATGAAATACGTGAGAAACTCAGCGGCCGTCACTTGGAGCGACCTTAAACTACCAGGCGTAGAAACAGTACTGGTATGTCTCTTGGTGAAACCCTCGTCTCTACCCACCGAGGGCGGTGTGCGAACGAGGTGCCTGATATGTGTATCTAGAAATTACAAGGAGTCCCATACTTGCAGGTGTGGAGTGTAACAGGTGAGGTGAGGTGAGCTGGTGCTACTATGTATGATAACCTAAGGTGCTATATTCCATACAGGTGGAGCAGTCTGACGTGTTGAGTGTTATTGTAAGAAGGGATGACCGAGGTAAGGAGGTCACTCATTGTTATGTAATAAGTAGGTGGATGACACGCAACTAATGTAAGACGTCTGTTGTCGAGCAGGTTAACCAGAATCATCGTTGTTCTTCTGAGGAAGACCAACTCACTTGTATCTTAACGGAATGCAGTATGTTTTATGTGGAATAATTTAGTTAAGACATGTTATGGTTTCACCCTTCTTTCCCCTTATCGATCTTGTCAATGAAAAACCTAACCCAATGCCTAGTCCACTCTGCCCGCTACCTAACGAGCTACATACTGCCCAGAGGGGGTCTGGTGACAGCAACCTTTAAAATTAAGACTATAGTTAAGTTATCCCCCTCAGAATTAGTGACCCCAGAATCTGGCAGTATACAGGGATACGTAAGAATTGGATAGAATGATCGCCTTTCTCGTAAAACCCGGCAATAAACTTAAAATAATCGTAGGAGCACAAGAGTATAAGAGTAAAGGAAAGGTAATGAGACGCGACAGATCGTCTAAGCTGCTAACGAGCCGATAAGTGGTGAAGAGGATAAAAGTAAGTAAAAAGTAAAAAGTAAAAGCCCATTTTCAAAAGTCAATTAGGTGGTGGCGACTACTAAATATTTGCCACATATTTTAACCATAACAGCATCCATCACTCTTACCAGGATAGAAGATAGTGAATAACCCCGTATATCTCCTTCACCAGCCATAACAGCACCGCGTTAAAAAATATACAAAATATTGATATATAATTATTACAATAAGAACATTTGCAGAGAAAAAGCATATTCAGTCTTGGAGACCAATGTTCTTCAGTCCCAAAAAAGTTATCATAATTTTTGAAACCAAGGAATACAGAGGAAGAAACTCCCCTTAAAACCTGTTAAGTCTTCCTGGCCTCTGACGCGCCACCTCAGGAGGGTTCGACATCGTAAAGAACGTTTTGCTCTACATGGGTAACTACCTAAAAAAAGGTTTCTGAAACAATACAATACTTCAGTTTTCAAAGGTTTGTTTGTTTGGTGTTTGGTCGAAGAAATGGCTACTGAGATTCACCAAGTGTAAGAGGATGCTCCTGGGGAGTACCAACGATAAGGAGGCGTATCATATGTCCCAACGGGATGAGGAAACTGCACTAGTTGAGACTGTGTGTGAGAAGGACCTAGGTGTGTATGTTGACAATGAGCTGAAGTTCTCGGGCCATTGCGAGAAGAAGGTAAATTAAGCAACTAAATTATTGGGTCTTATAAGAAGGTCGTTCAGATATCTAGACGGTCCGTCCCTCGTGACGATCTTCAGGAGTGAAGTGCTTCCCCATCTGGAGTACTGTCACCCCGTCTGGTCCCCGAGATATGCTAGGAAGGACTGTCAGTTGGTTGAAAATCATTTCAAGGAGGGGCCACCAGACTGGTGCCCTGCACTTCGGCACCTCAACTACCCTGAGAGATTGGGCCTGAACTTGCCTGGCTTATACACAGACGGGCAGGGGGGACCTAAATGGGGTGTATAAGCATCTCAAGGGCACTACTCAGTTGGAGTGTCCTTACTTGGAGCTGGCGGACGGTCGACCCTGAGGGGTCACAGCTCAAGGCTGAAGAAGCCGCAAGTTCAGAAAAACTGTGAGGGCAAACTTTTTCGGAGTGAGAGTTGTGAACTCTTGGAACAATCTACCAGAGAGTGTTGTGACGGCACCGAGTGTGAGCTCTTTCAAGACAAGACTTGACCAACACTGGAGCAGGTTCAGGTACATTGAGGAGCCGGTGCATGCCCAGTATTTGACAGAGACGTGACCGATCGCCCGGGCGGCTGACGAGTCGATCTTTTGGTGAAGAGGATAAAAATAAAAATAAAAAAAGTCTTGAGCGCTTACTTTACAAGAAATTAATATGGTTTTCTGAGTAGTTGTAACCAATCTTGACTATGTAACTCTGGGGTATAAAATAGAGCGCAGCCCTTGAGAGCCATAATCTCTGTAAAACAGGCACTCTTGTTGGTGGGTCGGTGGCCAGTGGAGACAGGATGTATTGACCAAAGTGTAACAATGATTGACCTTGTTGAGGCCTACTGGACAATGATTGAGCTTGTTGAGGCCTACTGGACAATGATTGAGCTTGTTGAGGCCTACTGGACAATGATTGAGCTTGTTGAGGCCTACTGGACAATGATTGAGCTTGTTGAGGCCTACTGGACAATGATTGAGCTTGTTGAGGCCTACTGGACAGCGGGTTCATTAAGTGTGAACGCGCCCCCAGTGTTTGGGTTCATCCTGTGTGTATCAATTCAGTCTTAAGTAATATTATTCTTTATATAAATGTAACTACCAGAGTGCCCTGTATTGTAGAGTGAGTTAATAGTAAGCGAGGAGAGAGTTCTGTTAAGGGTGTGAGCCTGGAGTAAATTGTACAGCTCTGTGATGGATTTTTGGAGTGTTATAAATTATTAGTATGGTAATGAAATGATGTGGTTAAGTGTCAGTATTTTCATGTCACTCTCCTAGAATGTTACAGCCAGTTGTATTTTCTAATGACCATTTGCTTCTGTTAAATATATATCTTTTTGTTAAGCTAGAAGTAGGGTCAAGTGGTCCCTATAATTTGTATCTTGTTAATGTAAAGTACAAGAGAGAGCAGTAGCATACATTTACAGTTAATGATTATTATATCATAAATCACCTAGTTTTTATTTTATTTTATTTGTTTTTGTGTGATAGCACCATTAAACAGTTGTACTACAGCAATTACAGTGGCGAAGAGGATAAAAGTAAAAAAAAAGTAAAAGATAAATGGCCTGGAGGAGTGTTCAGTACCTTCAGAATCTGTAGTACATTAATTTTGCCCAATACATTACAATACTGTACTATATAAAGGACTGGTAATGATGAGGAGACTGCTAACACCAGAAGCAGTTTAATTCCTTTAATTTTTCCACATGTCCTTTGCAGTATAGTGAGTAATAAAAATGCTAAAACAGTGAACAGAACCTAACCAGTAAAGATTCATGTTGGTCAATTTAGGATAGACAAATTTCTTCTTTGACACTTTCTGCACTGATGTGGTTAGGTTAGGGTAAAGGTTTACGAAACTGTTATTATCTGAAGGAAATGTGTGATTTGGTTTAAATTTTTTGTACACACTCATAGCATAATATTAAATACAGAAATGCAAATAATACACAGAACCGGTAAAGGTGTAGAAGAGGGTGACCACTAGAAGGAATTGTCCGAATTGGTTGAAATTTTTTCTACTTACAATGCATAGAACCTAATAGAACCTGACCTGACATACCTGACCAATGTGTATGTTAGGTCAGGTTCTATTAGGTTGTATGCATTATCGTGTTAATTTATGTGTTAAGTAACTTACCTTTATTGAGGTTGATGTACATCAGTAGGAATACGTGGATGTGTTCACCATCATTTAGGAAACATCTCTTGAAGAGGGATTCAGCGAGGTAAACAACAAAAATGTTGCCGGGAGGAGAATTGTCGTTTCTTTAAATATACTTAAGATCATCAAAACAATAAGTATAGCAAAAATAAAGAAAATCAACAAACAACTTCTATTGATAACAGTTTCGTAAACATTTATCTCGGCTAGGTTAGGTTAGATTAGCACCAGAAACGAAGGTCAAATTCGTTCTAATCACAAGAACCAAAGGAAAAATTTATTTTTTATTGAAAAATCGAAACTTGGCTGTTATCATAAATTGGCTTTAGTTTTTAGTCGATCTCGGAAATTAATAAAAAAAAAAGGGAATTATTTTACTTGTTTCCACGGTTATTTTTCAATATAGACCTACCACCTTTTTTCATTTGAAAAATTAATTTCTTCAATAGTTTTCTTGCTGTTTTAGATGATTCTGTCATTTATATTTGAGGCAAATAATGTTTTCTTTTTTTTAGTATATAAAAGTATGGAAGTGTGTTTGTGCATGGAACGGTCACTTGGAAATGCTCATTTGGTGTATGAAACACTCGTCTTGTAGTTAAACAGTGAAAATGTTGCAGGTGGACTTATATTGGTGTTCAGGATAAAAAAAAGATAGTAATATCTCCATTAGCCGGAGTCCCTCTCAGCTGGAACTCTCTGATAGCTGGAATTGAAATTTGATTGGAAATTTTCTGAACAATTCCAGGTTTGGGAATGATTTTCTGAAGGTACACATTTTCTGGAAAATGTTGAGGAAATTTTCCCGGTAACCGGAAAAATTCCAGAAATGGGTGATTTCCCCGGGTTTGAGTCATTTCATTATCTAGTAATCTCTCATTCCCATAAGTGCTCTGTACCAATTGTTCCGGCTAACGGAGATGTCACTAAGAAACTTACAAATCTTTGTCATTAGGAGGGATTTTCTTGAGGTCAGAGAAAATGTTATCTTCTATAATTTTTTTTTTAACCCTGATGACCTGTGGTATTGTTCCAGTGTTACCTAAAGAAATATTTTAACATCATTATGATAGTTTGGTTGCTGTTATCTTGGTAATACAGTTCATTACTGTGAATTGGTTGCTCAGGTTAAATCACCAACTTGGACAAATTTTATGTAGAAGACGACTACTTTATTACCTCAGGAATATTTCCCCCAATATTATGAAGATTTGCAATTTTTTTTAATATTATTTTGGTGACTTTTTTGTCTTAAACAGTAATGTACATCTACCATATATGTCCATTGTCCCACCAATGTCATTTTCATTATCGATACATTACTTACATAACCATTTGATACACTACCCAGTAACTGCTACAATATACAGTACAGTATCCGTAATTTATAGGAGCAAAGATGAACTACTTTAGGTTAAGTGACTCCTCCTTCACCTTGGGGTACTGTATAGGGCAAAATAGCCGTCATTGAAGTTATTACAGTATTTGCAGTGGTCCAATATTATGAACAGACATAAATTGGAAAATGCACAAGACAATAGTACAGTGGTCCCTCGGTTAACGAGCACAATCCGTTCTAGAAGGTTGCTCGTTAACCGAAAAACTCGTTAACCGAAACCATTGTTTCAATGGGTTTTTGGGTAATTGGTTCCAGCTCACTGAAAATTGCCTAAATTCAACAAAAAAGGTAGAAAAGTACACTTACTTTGTGGTGTGTATGTAGAAGGCTCCTGGATGATGATGATGGGAATTAGAATGGGGGTGGAGGAGAAGGGAGAAGAGAAGGCATTGGGGTGGAAGAGAAGTCACCCCATGGTGCCATTTCACCCATAAAATTTTAGTTCTCTTGGTGTAATTCAAGATCATTTTCTTTAAATCAACACTGCACTGCATTATATATTGTCAATATGTAAAATAAATTTCAAAATAACCAATAATTTGCTTGGAAACACAGAAAAAAGCATTTAGTTGAAGAGTCTCAAGCAAGATGTTACCTCCACTGAAACGAGAGAGAGACTAACGCCTGTTTGTGAGTTAACAGGCTGGATGGCGCGCCAGAAACTAGTTTCATTACCTTCAATTATGTTCAATAATTGTTAAAATGACTAAAAAAATTAATATTAAACTTTTAAAATTATTCAATAGTATAAACTTCTTGATATTTGCTAAAATGGTAAGGAATTTGAGCCCTAGAACCGATTACTGTAATGGCGGGCTAATACTACAGCTGGTGGACCGCCAAATGCAAGCGAAAACATGTTCAGGTCGGCTCGTAAGAAACTCGTTAATCGAGGGATTGCTCGTTAACCGAAGTTAAGAATCTTATGGAAGGTAACTCGTTAACCTAAATCTCGTTAACCGAGGCGCTCGTTAACCGAGGGACCACTGTACTGTACTTTACTCCTTTTTTCTCTTTGCCACTGTTTGGCTTATTAGTTGCTTGGGCAGTTGGTCACCACTCTGTTAAGTACTGTTGTTCAGTACAGTACTGGCATGTATTTATGTGTCAAGCCTCTTGCTACAGCATAAGTAGAAACACCTCTTTTCAAGAGACCTGATTAACTTTTTATCATTGATATAATTTAGATACTGTACCAGGAGCAGCTGATCTTTTAATTAGTCCCTAGTCATTATTATTAGTCCCGAGCCATAATTATTTGTCCCTAGCTATTATTATCAGGGGACAGTCTGTGTCTAGCCCCACAGACTAGATGGTCAAAGAGTGTGGGGCCCCCAGTCTGGTCTTGATCATTAAATGGAACTTAAAGATCAATCCAATACTTAATTAGAATGAAACATTGTTGAAAACTTGTCAAGGTATAAACTGGAAACTCAATACTTGTTTACTTTTGTAGGATCAGAAGAGATAGCTACTGTAATTAAAGATGGCAAGTGATAGTTACAGTTCAGATGATGAGACTCTACTGTCCCAAGCTTTACCAACAACAAAAGTTCCAAACAACTTTGATCCCTCAGTGCCACCAGCCTCTGCTGAGGAATATCTTCAACATGTGGTGTAAGTAACTATCTATCTTTTACTTTTTGCTCACAATAAACCATGGATGGCATCACTTCATTAAAATGACTTACTTTGTATTCAAGTCATTTGTAAATTAGAAAAAAAATATCATGATTGAAATAACAGCTTTGATGCCTTACTGTGAAATCTGAAATTATCCTTATTGTAGTGAATGGTGGAAGTTATATAATAAGGTGTACCATAATATGTGAGAACAATGTGACACCTTTTAACGAAGGGCAATATAGTGATGTAGTGTCCAGTGGTATTGACTTCAAATGTCTAATCTTTGTTAAAAAATTCGGCAATATCCTTCACTTGTGCAAGTACAGTACAAAATCAAATCTAATACAGTAGTAAAATTGACAAAGTTGAGTGTTTGGGACATAAGAGATTGTATTTTATACTATATTACTGACGTTGGAAATTATATCACTTAAGACTAAGGCTGCCGTTATTATCCATCTCAGAATGAAGGTTAGATGTCTGTCATGGATGAAGTTATCAAGATGGAGGTTACCAGACTAAGGCAGGGTGTATGTACTCTACCTCTATAACAAATGATTTATCTTAACAGTTTAAATTAGATGTACAGTACTGTACTGTATGTCCTTGATGAAGGCCCTTGCTACATTTATTGCTACCTATAACTAAACCCTTACTAGTTTAAACATCTTACTGCTTGACCTCTGATAGTCACTTTTTGGAACACTTTGGCAGGAATATTGTCAAAAATTAGGTCCAGCTTTGAAAACAATAGTACAGTATGTGTTATCAACACAAAAGAAATGGTCTGTATAGAGGATATGAACAAATCCTGGATGTAAACAACTGGCTAATTCATGTACCTGGGAAACATATTCCTCAACCACCATCAATCAGAGTATCTGAGGGTTGGCGACCACAGTCCTCCACTCTTAATGTTCTCGGGCTGTTTTTACCAATCTTCTAAGGTTTTGTGTCTCTCTGGGGACTCAGTTTATAATATCATTCATCCATCCCCATCTCTGCCTTCCCCTGGCCCTCTTAACCTCAACTTTGTCCATTAATATTTCTGTTATTATCCCTCATCCTAAATTATATGACTGTCAGTGTAGTTTATTCTTAACATTCACTTATAACACCACATTTCAAAGGCCTCCACAACCTCTTTTCGGTGTCTGCTGAAAGTGTCCACGCTTCTGACCCATACATCAGTCTTGGCCACATAAAGCCTTTCAGTTGTCCCTTTTCTCAAATTGAAGTTAGTTTTCCTTTTCATCGGGTCTTTTATATTATTAAATGCTGTTTTTACTTGCCCTATTCTTGTTTTGAATTCATTTGTGCATCTACCATCACAATTAATGTTACTTCCCAAATACAATTTTTTTTCTATTGTTGCCAGTAAAGATTTCTTAAAATTCTAATATCTTCTTCATACTACTGTAGATCGTATATAATGCAAGAGTCAAGAAGAGTCACCCCTACAAGATTCAGTGGCCTTTTTATTACATACTGTAACCAGAAAATGATAAGAAGACAAATAGGGCCACATAAGGTATAATTTTAATTCCATCGCAAATTACTGTAAAGGAACATTTGTCAGTACAGTATATTACAAATTATACGTGACCATTAGTAACAGGCTGCATATTTACAGCTTCAAATGGGGCATTATAGTAAGGTAAAACAATTAATTTGTGGACATTACTTTCTCACCAACATAACATTTGGGAGCAGCAGCAAAAAAAGGCTAACCAATCTCTAGGACTCCTATACAAGTACAGGGTGTCCATAAAGTCCCATTCTGATTTCAAGCATTTATTACGACTTGCATGTGCAAACAGCATAAGATATTGAAATGCAAATTTTTGCATTTGAAAGAGTAACTATTCAAGTTTTGTTTTACACTTAAGCAAATACAAAAAATGCATTTCAATATCTTATGTAGTTTACACATGCAAGTCATAATAAATGCTTAAAATCAGAATGGGACTTTATGGATACCCTGTATTTTGCCTTTGAGTCTGAATATTGGAAAATTACCTCGGCTCTAAAAAAATGTTGGTACACCCTCGCCAAAACTTGTGTATGCAGATGACCTTTTAAAAAAGATGTGACACACACACACACACACACACACACACTCTTTCTCAACTTGTGTATACCGTACAAGCATGAAAACCACATCACAAAATCAAAATAACATCGTATCTCCTTTTTTTATCTTTGCAGACGTAGTACAGTACAGGTTGTACCTCTGTAGTCCGGCATTCTGTGGTACGGAAACTCCCGTGGTCCGGAACGATTTTAGTTTGTCCAATAGGTAGATAGGCAGCTTTTTTTTTTTTTTTTTTTATCTGAATTATTATTATTATTACAGGAGTATTAAATTTTTGCCCCTCAGGCCCCAATGGGTCGGTGACCTATGCCCGGGTGGGCTAATCCCCGTAAAAAAAACAACAACAAAGCCGCGGGAAATTAAGGTTTGTTTACATCCGGCAGTTCGGCTGCTCTCTCTCTCTCTCTGCTTGTCTATACAGAGTACAACATTTAACCCTTCAATATATATGAGCAGTAAATAAGTGTTGCTTTCATATTCTTATGTAGAGTAATGACGATATGTTTTCATATGTGCACACTTACATATGCGCACTCACTTTTTTTTTACCATTAATGGTTAGCTACTTATATTGTTCCATTTATTAACATTAAATAACATTACAGGTACTTCAAACAATCATATTAATTTTTTTTACATTAATTTTACTACAGCTACAATCAGGGTCTTATTTTCTTCAGCTTTATATGTAGAACCAATCAGTCACTGGTTTTGTAAGCTTTAACATAAACAATGCCGGCAGCCGTCACGTCTCCTCATTATTAATAAATTGTATTGTTAATTTTGCACACACAAACATTAATTCAATAAAAACAAATTCAGAAACATTAATTAAAATATATATGAACAGTAAATTAGTGTTGCTTTCATATTCTTATGTAAAGTAATGACGATATGTTTTCACGTGTGCGCATGCGCACTTACATATGCGATCTCTCTTTTTTCTTTACCATTATCGTTAGCTACTTCTATTGTTCCATTTATTAACATTGAATAACATTACTTAAAACAACCATATTAATTTTACTACACCTACAACCAAGGTCTTATTTTCTTCAGTTTTATATGTAGAACCAGTCAGTCACTGGTTTTGTAATCAACAAAAACAATGCTGTGTCATTTCCTCGTGTGTTTTAATATTCTAAGTATTATTAATGAATTGTATTGGTCATTTTGCACACATAAACATTAATTCAATAAAAAAGACATTCAGTAATAAACAATAATGAATCTTTTGTACATAAGAGAAATGACGCTGTTTACATGATTATGCACGTTGTCTGCACGTTGGCGGGCCGTTCAAACCCGTTGAAATTCAAGTTTCCGCCATCAAAATTTTTATTTATTTTTTTTGTGAGTTCCAATAAAATACGTTGAATTAAAAACTCGCGAAATTTGAGAAGCTACTATACGACATTTAGCCCTTCAATATGTCTTCAAAGAGACCATGATGCAGAGAAAGTGGTGCTAGTGCTTCCAAGCATACCGGTAAGCACAAGTCACTATCTATCCAGGAAAAGGGTGAATTTCCATGGTCCGGCACCGGTCAGGTCCCGAGGTTGCCGGACTAGAGAGGTACAACCTGTATCACTATTACTTTCTTAACTCTTAAATAGTTTATACGAGAACGTTCCTGTGACATTTAGCTTGAAAGGAGGCAGGAATGGACACCACTTGTTCACATCTATCTTGATGACTTCTCACTAAAAATAATAAATAATAAATAATAAAATAAATAAATATTGAAGTGATAACCGTGGTAACACTATGAGATGGACTTATTACTACCATGCTATTGTACTATTCCAGATGATATTAAATGTTACATAATACTTCCTTGAGATAAATGTATAGTATATATCAGGTGCCTCAAAGAGAGCTCAGGTTCTTAACTGGCTCAGCCATGTTAATATTGTTATTATTATCCACTCTGTATCTGTGTTTTTCTGGCTAAATAAACTGTTTCAATTCAATTCAATTCAACTGTTTTAGTTCACTCCTGGGGACAGATACAAGATGAGCTGGGCCATTGTTTTTTCTCTCATTTCTTTTTTTTTCTGCAGGAACATAAGATGATTGAACCATAAACTATGATCTGTTATCAACAGTTGGGAGGCCAGACAGTGCCAGGACGTTGTAACAGTTGATGTGGATAGGCAGAAACTCAAGAAGCCTGGGACACTTGTTAAGGTGAGTTTGTTGAGTATTATTGTTAGTGCTCATCACTCCTGTCGTGACTTAATCAGAGTACCATCCTCATATCTGAGGGTTGGCGACCACATTCCTCCACTCTAAATGTGTAACAGGAAGACAAAAGAAGTGTCTTCCTCTTAATATTTTGCTTCTCAGTAAAGTAGCAATGTTGGTTGGGAGGGGGGGGGGAGTCTAGACACTAAAGCCCCGTCTACACTATTGGTTCCCACCTGCGGTGTTCGAGCATGCTAACGGTGAGTACCCGGAAAGTGAATGCGTAGACAAGGGCATCCGAAGCACCATACTTGAACGAGGTACAGTAGTTCATGAGCGGGCGATATATTCGTGGGTGGGCACCTGACACCTACAGCTACAGCAGTGTTGCCAGACGGCCAGAAGAGTCTGTGTTTCACCAAACATTTTGGGTCTATGCCAGATGTTTCGAGTTATGGGTAATATATTGGTATATCACCAGAATGTTCAAACTTATCTAGAAAATGGCCTGAAAATCTCCCAGATTTACCCCATTATACCTGTACAGTATTACTAAGTCGTCTATCATGTCACAAGGTTCATAGGGTCGATATTATCCGGCAACACTGCACTCCTGTACATTACCATTCAGAGCCAAGGATGGATGTTGTCGCTGTCACTCCTGCCCCTACTCTTGCACCACAGGAATCACTTCATGAGGTTCCATTTGAATGGACAAACAACTTCACATTACATTTAATCGAGAAGTATAGAGATCATCCCTGTTTGTGACAGGTAAAATGTGAGGCCTACAAGAAGAGAAATAAGAAAACTATAGCATATAATGGCCGATACCTGTCTGTTAAAGCACCGAATCCTAAATGCACGCTTGACATGATAAAGAAAAAATAAACACCCTGTGTAGGCAGTACAAAAAGGAACTTATGATGATAGTCTCATCACAAGGGAGGCAGCCAGAACACATAATATCACTGCTTTGTGGCGACAATTGGGTCTAGGAGCCATTGCCTGTCCTACACTGGTAGCAGCCACCCACACACTGGATAGGAGAGTCAGTTTATGTGTGAACGGCCAAACTGCTGGTCAGCGGTCTATACCGTGCTTCGTCACCAAGCTTTGAAATGTATGAGCAGCGTGCTCGGACACCACAGGTGGAAACTGATAGTGTGGACAGGGTTTAAGAAGACGCTTTGTACCCCCTGTAGCTACATCACAAACATCATAAGAGATAAGTACAACAGGTGGGAGGGGGTGGGGGAAATTTATCACAGCAGAATAAAAACTTTTCCATAAGTTGTAAAGCTTAAGGTTGTGTGTAAAGTTAGGGCGGATTTAATTTTTCAGTTTGCGAGTGTTTCTGTGTGTTTACAACCATGTGATGCCAAAGCTATATCATCAGTCATAAGTATTAAAGTATTTCTTGATGTTGCAGAAGGAAGTTAAGGTAACGGCCCCACACGGTTATGCACCATCCCCAGAGACCCAACAGGAATTGCTGACATCATTTTCCAATCTTCGAACTCATATTGCAAATCTACGATCATCAAAACAGATACCTCCATCTCCTGTCCGTTTTGTAAGATACTCAGAGTATTTATGTATGACCTTATTTAGAGGATCCTATGTGTAGCTTATTGAATGGGTCTTATTCTGCCATCTTCATTTCTTCCTTTTTATGCAACCTGTAGTATTGTACTTCTGTTTATTTACCTATTTATTTGACCTTTTCAATTATGGAACAATGTATTGAGTATTTTCTTGTTTATTTCTTATTGTTGTTTGCAATTGTAAACCAAACTACAGTTTTTAACAAGCATAAAACAAGTTGGATCATAGTGGGATCAACATGAAAAAAGCTCCCCATTTTGGATGAAATAAACAGGTGATTGATGCTACAAACTATACTGGCCCAACCTCCCCAAATTCGCGGATTTTTGTTTTGCGGTTCTCTATTATTCGCAGATGACACTCTGGATGTACACCCACTAAAAATTTATTTGTCACCCTTACGGCGTGATACAATATGACACGGGTGCCCAATAATTTTTTAGTGGGTGTACCCAAGAATGTCTGCGGGTAGTTTTATAGTTGCCAGCATTTTCGTAGCTGGGACAGGGAGCCATTTGTTCTAAAGACAGTAACACACACACACACACACACACACACACACACACACACACACACACACACACACACACACACACACATACAAATAAATAATAATGGGAATATTCTCTCACAAATAATGAGAAAAAAATTTATTAAATATGTGACAGTCTACCCTCAACTCCGTGCTTTATTAATAAAGTAATAAAGCACGGAGTTGAGGGTAGACTCACATTTTTAATAATTTGATTCTGATTATTTGTGAGAGAATTTTCCCATTATTATTTATTTGTATGTGTGTGTCTACACACATACAAAACACACAATACAGTTAATGAATTTATTTAGCTACATGTTCTTATTTTTACTGAAATAACAGAAAAAAATTTAAAGAATATACAGGAGCTATGCTATATATTTTCCTATTGGTTTGTTTAATATATTAATGATGCATAAAATTGTCATTGCTTTTACCTTCTGTAAATACATCTTCACCAAATAATTGTTTATGAAAAATTGGTACAGTATTTAATTTCCATCTTTGTCAAACAGCCAAGTCTAAAAAATCGTGAAGAATGGTGTAAACTGTGCTTTGGCAACAGCTTCCAGTTGGCCCTATTGAAGCAGGCCAACAGTGATGCTGCCCAGCCTCCCCTGGTGGAGGGTCAGCAGCCACTTTTGAGCATTGTTCTAAATATTAAACAGGTTAGTTATCTTTAATTCTCTTTTACAGTAATTCATTTGTGACCATCTTTCATTTACTGCTTCTCTTCTTATACTTTCTTATATTAATTCTTGAACTAGTCATCAGTGTAGCAGAAGTACTTACAACCTTCAGTAAACTTCTGTGTACCACATTTGAGGTCAGTGCTTCCCATAGGACTCTCATATTTTTCTTATCATAATAATTATTGTTTTCCCCGCTGAAACAGAGAGGACTTCGCAATCTGCTGGAGTGGCACGCCCAGTGGTTGGAGGTATTGGGGTTCTCGGAGGCCCAGGGATGCTGGTTTTATGCTCTTCTTGCCTGTCTAGAGAAGCCTCTCACACCAGAAAGCTGTTCCCAAATCCGACACATTGCCAGGATATGTGCAAAGCTCCGATCATCTTTAGTAAGTACAGTATGTGTGTTTTATGTACAGTATATACCAGTGGAGCATATCAATAATCCAAACCAAATTCTCTTTCGTGTTTACACCAAAGACGATGGTTTATGTCCTGTACTGAATGATGTACAGTCCCCTTAAAAAAGATTGTTAGCTATGGGATCATGTGATTTGAGGCGTTCTGACCAGTGTTACTCAACCTGTTTATGAACGGTTGGTAGTTCTACATCTGCCACCTTTGAGCATGAATGATTATATACATTTTCTAATGATATATTAATATAGCTTAATGGATTTCTTGTTACAGGTTGGGTTTCCCTTATCCGAAATGCTCTGAAATCCTAAAGTCTATTTCATTATATTTATGGTAGATAATAAACTGAATATGACATACATCATAATATTTACTTGGGTAAGTATATATGTGTAATGAATAAAGGTAAGACACGGGCTGCTGAGCACCTCATCCCAACAATTAGGAATACATCAGCTGTAACTGTTGAGGAGGGGGCGGGGCATCTCTTTTCAGCTGGGAAAAAACGCACTATAGTTCTTGAGACAACCAACGGATCCAGTTATCCATTTTGGGTTGTACTGTAGTTATAGAATAAGAAATTTAAATAGAAGACAAATGGAATGTTAAAAACTGAAGGTAGGAATGTGTGAATGATATGCAGTAGTCATATAGAAAGTGTGGATGAGAGCAAAGTGTTAATGTACCCGAGTGAGGTAAAAGACAGGAGAAGACTGGTAACAAAGTATAAGGAGGAAGTGATAGAATATTTGGATGAGGAACTTATCAAGAAATATACAGTATAGGTGTGGTAAAAGAGCAGGAATTAATGGAAATAAATTCTTCACTTGTGTCCATGATGGGTTGATGGACATGATGTAAACAAAATAATGAGGAATAATTATCTTGTTTTTCTTATATCTTTGTGACAGGAATCTTCAGATCATCCACATTTGCCACACCTCAACGTGATCATCTGTATCGTGGCCAGATACTTCAACCAGGAGGATCTTGCCGATGGATAACTATTAGAAGATGATACTCGTCTGTTTTTGTTCTGTACAGTACTACATGACACTATCTTTACATCTTAAATACTGTATTAGGCAAAATTTGGGTTGACCCATCCCATAGAATATTAGGTCATTGGTCAATAATTAGTCTTGGTAAGTAATCAGTGTTTAGAGATGAAAAAGACAGGTTTATAAGTTATGACTGATCCTTCATTGCAGAACAGAACATTTCAACCATTAATGCCTGTAGCTCCCAGCCTTGATCACTGGACCATTAACCTCTTCACTACTGGGCACCACATTTATTCAGCAGTGAGAGGCCCTGTACACAAGGGGTTATAACATAAATGACTTGATTTAATCCATTAACATCATTTAAAAATTTTTTTTATCAAATAAAGTATTTACATTTCAAATTAAAAAATCAAAGCACAATTATTTCAGTTGCCATGCATCATGTCACGTTGGCCAAGAGAGTATTGATGTGGCAACATTTATAGACAAAAACATGAAACTAAAACAAAACAAAATTTGATGCTCCAGACACCTGCTGGTTCATGATTTAGCTTTAAGAAAACATGCAGTACAGTACATTACATTACAGTACAAGACATTTATAAATACTGTATTTCCTTAAAGTTTGTGGGGTTAGGTAAAATGGGCCCCGTGAGAAAGCAAAATTCGTGAGTTTTTCTTCCCGGTTCTCATAGTGTGCAAAATACAGTACATATAGTATAAATAGCTACTGCACAAGTATAGCAACCTTATGTACACATATCCTTTAAACTACAGTACGGGGGTTTAAACAGTGCAGCCGTCACCTCTCCACGGTTTACACTATGGGTTGAATGGGGTGCAAGGGAGATTGTGTACTGCGTCTGACAGCTTCTACTATACTGGCTGTGAGGGTCTCTACTGTCCCCTGCGCCTGCCTTAGGGAGGGAGAGAGTAATGCATGGTGCAATTGTTATATGTAAGGAAATTATAAAAGTTGTGTAAAAATCATTTTATTACTCTAATGTGACTTAGAAATAAAGAAAATATAATATATGCGGAAAAGATTCCTTAATATGTGCTCCTCAACACCTGGTGTTTATCTCGCCTCCAGTGTGTGTCCCCTCCACAGGGATGTTATCAGTTGAAAAACATTTAGGGGAGGGGGGATGACCATGACGCGAGAAAAATGTTTGACAACAAATAACGACAATTGACCGTCTTGGGTGGAGGGGTCTGCCGGGTGAGAACAATGAGCCAGTATATTGAGTATAGTGGCCACACTACACATGCTCAGGCATTACATCATATACTCTGTTTCTCATTGGCTGAGAATTGTTTGTCTTGCATTCCATTCTTCCATTCTTTAGCATTTCATTGACCAAAGATCAATGATGTCATACAACTCCATTATTAGAAGCATTATAATATGTCTCTCCACCCTGTACACTTGAGTGGTGGCAGGGGATGGGCTAAGCATTTTTCAATATAATTAAGTTTCTATAATAATTTTACACTGATAATCACAATTTATTCTATAACCCATGCCATATTTCATAGTTGTATAGGCCTCAGTAGGGCATGTGTGTGTGTGTGTGTGTGTCCCCCAGGATGTCAGGGCTGTAGGGCATATGTGTATGTGTCCCCCAGGAGGGGGACTATGATGTGTTGGAACATAAAACTCTCCAGCAGTAGGTATAGAAGCATGTTAAAGCAGAAGAGGTTGTAGCAGGAAGAAAATAAGAGGAAATTTTTGTTCAAGAAACAGTTAGAATCAAAGAAAACAGATTGAGGAAATGGCTGAAAAATCAAGGAAGAGCAGAGAGGCCTTCCAGCAACAAAAACAGAAGCATTTTCTCTCCCTGAAAAACTAACTGATGGGAAAGAAAACTAAATGTTTTGTTTGTATATATCATGGAAAGTGCATATTTTTCTTATTTTAGTACTACATACCAGTATGTTATTGAAACTCCAGTTGCTGGTGCATTAGAGATAAATCCCTTTGGTAAGTATTAAATTTTGAATTCTCACACAATACAGTGCAAAAACAGCTTACCTTTTAGTTTATCTTCTCTCATTAAGGTGCACAATTAAAAATATTAAACAACTTCAACTTTAGTAACAACTAAAATTTGTAAAGGAATTATTAAGACTATGCATGAAAAATATTGTTACGATAAACATACGTGTTTGGTTTTGGGTACTGTGTATTTTAACTATTAGGCACTTACTAAACGAGTAACAATGTGAGAAATTAAGTTAAATAGGGTAAAAACTCTCCGGGTAGATATTTCCCCGGACCCATCAGTTAAATTAATTTTTTTTCCCACGACCCAATCACATCCCTGTGTCTTCAACATCACGTACACACACCCCAACATTTATTATTATATATTCTTGTATGAGAATTTATAATTTTTGTATAAAATAATCTCGTATAAAATATTAATACGGTACAGTACTAATACAGTATAGAAAAAATACAATATATAATCCGTAATTTGAATAAAAATTAAATGACGAGCTGAATAACAAGGTAAAAATATGTATTTTACTGTACTGTATATGAAGGGTACTGGTATTAATAAGCTCATATTATTACTATATCTCTTAATAAACATTTTAAAGTTAAACAATTGATTTATTAACACCAAACTTCTATATAAATGATGTGTGTATATGTGATGTCACATTGGGGAAGGGAGGGAGTTCCTCAGTAATCAGGGCTCAAGCCACAGTGCCACACACACACACACACACACACACACTCACACACACACACACACACACACACTCCCATGTTCTTTATTTTTTCTTATTTTATAGTTTTTTATTACTGTATACAGTATTATCTTTATTTCTAATTCACAAAAGAGTATTTCAGTGATTTTTCTACAACTACTATAGCATTAATGCTCCAGAAATGTGGAAGCAGTGAGAAGTTTGTCAAAGTGGGCATCTCTCCCCCTGCCTCATGATCCCCTGGCAACTCTCTTCCTGCCAACTCTTCCCCTGCTTCATGACCCCCTGCCTCATGGCCCCCTGCCTCATGACCCCCTGCTTCATGACCCCTTGTCTCATGACCCCTTGCTTCATGACCCCTTGCCAACTCTCCCCCTGCTTCATGACCCTCTGACAACTCTCCCCCTGCCTCATGACCCTCTGCCAACTCTCCCCCTGCCTCATGACCCTCAGGGGGCACCACCACCCTAGGCACGGCACATGGGAGCGCCACCGTCCCTGGGAAGGTCCCTGGTATCGCTGCTGTCCCGCGGAGAGCCCCTGGGGGCGCTGCTGTCCATGGGAGAGCCTCTAGGGACACCAGCGCCCATGGTATGTCCCCTGGGGCGTCACCGCCCCTGAGAGGGTCCCAGGGAGTGCTGCTGGCCCTGAAAGGAACCCTAGGGGCACCGCCGTCCCTCGGAGAGCCCCTGGAGGCCCCACTGCCCCTGAAATGGACACTAAGGGCGCCACCGTCTCTGCACGACCCCTGGGAGCTCCTTCGTCCCTGGGCGCTGCTGTCCCTAGGAGGGCCCCATGGGGGCGCCACCGCCCCTGGCATGGCCCCTGGGGACGCCACCGCTTCTGGGGGCTACGCTGTCTCCGGGAGAGCCCATAGAAGCGACACCGATACTGAGAGGGCCCTTGAGGGCGCCAACGCCCCTTACAGGGCCCCTGGGAAGGCCCCTGCGGGCGCCACCACCCCTGAGAAGGCCCCTGGGGGCGTCACCGTCCCTCGAAGGGCCCGTGGGGGTGCCACTGTCCCTGGGAGGGTCCCAAGGGCACCACTGCACCTTGGCGGTCATCTGGGGGCACCACCGCCATTAGGAGGGCCTCTGGAAGCTCCACCGCCCCTGGGAAGGCCCCTGGGAGTGCTGACACCCTTGGGAGGGCCCCTGGGGGCGCCGCACTTGGTGGGACAAATGGCAAGACCCCAGGCGGGGGGGACTGTCCCTGTAGGGCCCCTGGGGGCAGTTGTTTTTGCATTATTCAGAACAATGGGATATATGACGCTAAATAAATACACTGCCCGTCACATTTCCAGGATCATAGCACCATGAACATACAGGAGAATAAATATCCAACAGGAAAACATTGAAGGACATATGCAATATGTACTACACCACGACCACGTAAGCTTTCCACACGAGAATCCATAGAGGCGATACCGCCCCTGAGAGGGCCCCTGGGGGGGCTGTTGCCCCTAGCAGTGCCTCTGGGGGCCCCGCTGTCCCTGTGAGGGTCCCTAGGGTGCCACTGCCTTTAGGGGGGAGCAACATCTTGTAAGGCAAATTGCCGGGTCCCAGGGGGCACTATCCCTGTAATGCACCTGGGGACAGTTGTCTTTGCACTATTTAGAACAATGGGAGATATGACGCTAAATAAATACACTGCCCATCACATTTCCAGTATCATAGCACCATGAACAATGTAAAGGAGAATAAATATCGAACAGGAAAACATAAGTTGGGGTGTTGTGCTGACTGACTGCTCTGTTCTCCTATTAGCTGTTATTTGGTGGATTTACATTTTAGTCCACCAATCACAGTTAAGAAAGGGATTGCTGGACGTATGCAAT